TTTTCTTTCCAGGTTCATGTAAGACACGAACAATTGTCAATCCTGAGGGTTAGAACATAGCCTGCACTGTGTATTTTAAATGTCGAAATAAATGTATGTGCCTTATTTTACAAGTCAATGAATGAGTGTTTGTATTGGAAACTGTCAGATTTGAGGTGAAACTATTTCTTCTTAATTTTTGTACTATGTGATACTGTATATGTTTATTTGCTCAACAATGATATAGGCCTACTACCTTTAACTATAGATGTACCCAAAAGTCAATGTTACTACTTAGTTATAATATACATATTTATCTATTCAAATGCAATGCATATTTATTTTATCCTGTTCTAACACGTTTGCTGCAATTGTCACCTTTCTGAGCAATAAATATACTAAAATAAAGGGTGATTTTTTTATTGGTGCGGGTTTTAAAACTAAATAAAAAAATTAAAAACAACCTGCATTGACATAAAAATGCATTTATTTGAACTACAGTGTCATGACATTAACGTTTAAAAATGATTTCTGGCATATGGGCTCCATTCCGTTCACGTAGAAAGCCCAATCGAGAAGTCCAATTTTTGAATACTCTTTCCAGCAGCTGTGGTTGAATTCCGCCAATAACTCGAGGAATGTTAGCTTCCAAGTCATTTAAAGTTTGTGGCTCGTCAGCGTATATTTGAGACTTAACATATCCCCACAGAAAGAAGTCTGTTGGCGCGATATCACACGACCGTGGGGGCCAGTTGACACTACGTCTAAATGAGATGATACGTTCACCAAATGTTTCTGCTAAGAGGCCAATTGTATCGTTTGCCGTGTGGCACGTCGCGCCATCTTGTTGGAACCAGACACTTTCTAAATCCACTTCAAGTTCGTTAAGCTGAGGAACAAAAACGTCCCGTAACATTGCCCGATAGCGTTGAAACTTTAAATGACTTGGAAGCTAACATTCGTCGAGTTATTGGCAGAATTCAACCACAGCTGCTGGAAAGAGTATTAGAAAATTGGACTTCTCCATTGGGCTTTCTACGCGAACGGAATGGAGCCCATATGCTTTAACCCTTTCTCAGTGCTATGAAACGATATATCGTTGTTTTAAAAAAAACCCTAAGGGATATAGAGAGGAAGGTTATTTAAAAAAAAAATAGCAAAACGGCCATTGGTGACCTGCATGTTCATAGGATACACTACCAACCACTTAGCTAAAAGATTCGCCCAATCCGATGATTTCGAAGTGTATGTCTAAACCAAGGATTATGAACACCTCACCATGCCCCAGTGGTTGTAGTATATCGCTACAAACACACAGGTCACCAATTATTTGCCACACATGGCGGGATTCGAACCCGAGCAGACGAATGCCACTGGCCAAGTGACACACGCCCTAGCCTTCTCGGCTATCTGTGCTTGAAGACTGGGGAGTCAAAACCCGGTATTTAAGCTGTCGCCACCGATTGCGAACAGATGGCGCTGCAGATGGTTGTTCAATGCGTTACTAGGTAGCAGCACCAGCTAGTCACGGACTATTTAGATGCAATCTTTTAGTTTTAGTAGTAGTAAATGTGTTCCTGAGACTTTGCTGCAAAACATTAGTTTCCCTAAAATTGCTATATTACAATAACCTCGTCCAACTAAATCAGGGTTAAATTCAATATTACATTGTAAACTATATGTCTTTTGATTTTGTAAGATTTCGGTTTCAAATAATGCTATCAGAACATAAAAATTTATAGGAAAATCAGGAAAATTACAACAAAAACTTAAGTTTTATTTGATGTTTACTACAAATACCGGGATTTATCTTTCTTATATATTTTCTTATTGTGTTATTATTCAAAATTAGCCTAATTAATAAAATAGTGACAACATGACAGTTAAAATTCAACAACGGGTAATGGAATTAAAAGGCAAACAAAAAAGTCTTACAAAATATGAATTATTGGCCTAGCACTGAAAGGGTTAAACGTTAATGTCATGACACTGTAGTTCAAATAAATGCATTTTTATGTCAATGCAGGTTGTTTTTCATTTTTTTATTTAGTTTTAAAAATCACACCAATAAAAAAATCACCCTTTAGTTGACAAAGAATCAAAATACCATCAAGGTGGTGAGTGAGGAAAATGCAACTTTCAATAAAACTCTATTTATTTAACAATGTTTGCATAAACAAAGTTAATAATAAATATATAACCAAACAATTAACATTATTATACTTTGTAATTATCACCAACACCAGATTAAACTAACAACCTATATTTTTAAAATCTTATATACAGTTACTCAACACACTCAATATTTATCCTTAAAGTGTAACGAATCAAAACAAAACCAACTTACAATAAATTTGTATAAACATTTTTAATTAAACATATGGATAAAACAATTAAAACATGTTCATGTGATGTGTACGTTAGAAATAAACTTAAAATATGATCTTTCCTGCGGGGGTTTTTTATTTAAAATCAAAGAGTAAAAATAATGAAGAAAAAACTGATAATATATGTTTTAGGACTGTAACGGTATGTTATACCTATTCCAGAAATGTAATACAATTTTTAATTACTGTAGAAAAACAATAAAAACAAAGAAGTGACAACGGGTGTACATTATCCTGGAATGCCTAAATTAACAATATCACAATGACAGTACTCTATAACACAACACAATCTATAGTTTAATTAATTACTATCTAGTATTTCATCTTTAATTTATAGTTTCGTAACTATTTTTAAAGTTTATCACAAATAGATAATTTGATTAATATGTGATGTCTCTGTGTATTCTACTACCTAACCTAAATTGGTGAAGCAAAACTGCTTCAAATAAAAATCACTGTGATTAGTTTCTCATAAGAAGAAACACAAGTAGGTTTGGATAATATAATGAAGATAATATGTCAGATAAATTTTCTTATGGCACAAATAAATGTTTGCAACTTTACTCAAACTAGTAACAAATTCAAATAATGACTCTTAAAGAAATAAGTTGAGGGCACAAAATATACTCAGGCAAGGCTTTTATACTCCAAAAATAGTAATAGGAAATTAATCTGAACTAACTTGTGGTATATTGTATGTTTTTAATGCTTAAAGGAAAGGTAGATCTTTTGAAAGATGTAACATTTTCTGCTAGCTTAATAAAACATAATCTTAACTGAGGATGCCAATCTACGACCCAAAGTCCTCAACCCTAAGGATATTAGTGTAGTCGTGAGAATTTTTGTGTGAGCCCATGGATTACATTTTTTTAGGAAAGATAACTGAAGTCCCTACCCCATTCAAAAACATTCTTAATCAGCCACAGGCTTTTTTTAAAGTTCATTTAGGTCTACATTATGTATAGGAAAGTTATTCATTTAGACTTTTGATAGTCAGACAAAACAAAACATTGGCCGGATTGTAAAATGATCAACTTTTAGATTTCACCATCTTTGTGGAATTCCTTTGGAATAGACAAATCGAATTTGAAAGGTGCAAGTCATGAAATGGCAATCATTACCGTTTAAATAACAAGTTATGCAAAGAAATATATTTAAGTTTGTCTTGACAAAGTCCCCATCAAAAGACTAATATATACAGTACTCATTCATTTTCTAAGGTTATACAATCAATTTTAGTTTATGAAAGTATTGTGTGTCATGTTCATGACAATAAAATTTCAACCTAAATGATCAATTGCAAACTTAAACTGAACAACACAAAATACAGGGTGATTACAAATTAAATAGACAGTTTGTATTTAATACAGTTTGTCTATTTAATTTGTAATCACCCTTACTTCATAGTCATTATGGGTAATGATGATTAAATTGTTGACCCAAATGGGGAAAATGAATTGTAAAACATACAACATCCAACAGAGAAAAAAAATGAACAAGACAAAACATTACTTGAGTTTAGAGTCAAGTTTATGTGTTTTAATACGTACCAACTCTGATTTTATTTTGATAAAGGCTCTGAGATCTATAGGCTAAATTTTTAAACCTGCATACATAAAATAGGACACACTAAAAATTTGATGTCAAGTTGATTAGCATTCAATATTGGATCTAAAACGCAGTTAGAAATGCAGTTAATGCTTTATAGCATTAATTGATACACAATTTTTCATTACAGTCAATTGAAATAAGCTGGCCAAGATATCTTCAACAAAGCACAACTAAGACATAGTACGTTCTGGAGTAAGCAGCAATTAAAACTATAATAGATCTATTCAATAAAAAACAACAATAAACTATCATAATAAACTTTCTTAACAAGCATAAGAGATTTCATAACCTGGCCATCTTCATATTATGTCCTTTATTTTTTACACAATATTTTGTTTATACAGCCTTACAACTACGCACTACTTTTAACTATGTAGTAACTATAACGGAGATATTGCTAATCTAAACACTCATACGACTAATAGGAACTTGGTTGTTTATTTTCTAGTAGGTTTTCTGTAAGCTGTGTACTTCCCAGCTTGGTTTACAACTAAAATGGAATGCAACGTAAATTGTCTATTAAAATCATTCAAAAATAGGATTGATTAGATATGGCCTGTATATTTGGAATATACAAATATTTGTGATTAAAAGTGATTTTAGAACAAAAATACAAACTAAGGGCAAGTTTACATTTGTTGAAGGTTTGTTTTGGTAAAACCATTGTAAAACGTAGCTCTGTTGATTTATCTATTGTCCCCATAGCTTGCCCAAATGTACAAAGCTTGAAAAGTAGATCCTAAACCAAGAACAATTTCAATTTCCTAACCTATCCTAGTTAACAATCTAAACCAGCTTCACTAACTATAGTGGAGCAAAATAGTCTTTAATTGTTTGTCCAAACAATTAAATCAGAAGAAAGAGAAAGTTTGTTGTTTGGTATTAATACCTTTGGTGTTTACAAACTTATCTTTTGATGGCATATTAAAATGAAAACTTAATGGAGATTATGTTTAGTAAGCAAACTTGAGTCGAGTAGCTTAGTGTTAAAGTTACTGGATTCACTTAATTAATAATAATAATTAATGTAACATGGGGACAATGCCCTACAATATTGGATTGTAATATTAACTTATAATTGTTGAGATAAGCAGGATTATACAAATAGGAAAGAGTCCATCCTGGTACAAGAAACACAACTTCAATGTGTATAAATATTGTTTCTAGCAGAACTGTTGTGTAGTGTTAAGTATTTGTGTATCTGGTGCTCGAATGGACTATTTTCCATTGAGCAAACCTGCTACAGTATCACAACAACAAATCTTCAAAACCTTCTCCAAAATCAGATTACTTTGGAACAACAAATATTTGTTGAAACAAGTAAGTCCAAGCTGATTTTGCTACTCCAATTTGCTAGTCATAAAATCATTAGGCCTATAGATTTTTAAACAAATAATTTTGCTCCACTATAAGTCGTGTACATTTCATGCTAAGTTCCCTAAATTATATCAACCATATTACGAGGCATAATACTTATGACCATAAATAAATCCACAAAAACAACTTTGATTCACAAAAATAAAACTGTAACAAACAAATTTAACCAAACACATGCCTTGCAATAACATGAAATATTAAAATATCAAATCTATTTATCGGTAACTAAACATACTGAATGGTACAGAAGTTGACAGGACTTGTTCGATACTCCTTTAATATAAAGGGTAACAAACCCAACTTTGAAGTTTCGCGTTCACACTTCGACCATTTAGATTATACCCTTCAACAAAAATTTTCTTTTGAGGCCACGGTTTGAAGTGTCTATTTTGGTCACACACACTTTCCACTGTTCCTCAAAGATTTCACCGCTACACCCGCTGAAGTAGTGGATCACTTCTTTGATCAGGTTGATTTTGTCGACGTTGAACTGCAGTTTGCCCATTTTGCCGTTGACGTTGCACGTTATGCGTTCCTGAGTGGTGAACAGAATTTTCATGAGGTCGCAGGCCAGCAGGTCGAGGGATCGTCCCTTGGACCACATCGCCAGAGTGTCCGGGGGCGGCAGTAACTCGGCAAATGGTAGGTTCTGATAGGGAGGTCCGATACCTGAGGTAATCGAACATTTGAATTTAAATTTACATATTGTTTTGCCCTTAAAAATACTAAATTAATAACAATTTTTGTTGAGCAAAATTCTTCCATTATATTTCACACTAGCAGAGTACCCATAATTCGTACGGGGTTGGCATATAAGTATAAAATGCTTATTGCAGTTATACTCGAGCTTTGCGTTTGCAATGGGGGAGGACACAGTTTAGCCATAATGTTCTACCACATTACCGGTACCTAAACAATAGTGAAAAATAAATTAATTCCCAAAATATCACAAATTTTTTCATGAAATTAAAAACATAAACGTAACTGTAAACAATCCTACTTTGAAAGTTCTCATTGCGTATCACAGTTTTTTGTTGCCGCTTGGTTCAAATTAGCTGTTTTCATAAATGCAAAAAAAATAATAGTGCTTCACCATGCTTTAATGCTTTTTCATATCATAGAACCAACTTTTTTAGTTGAAACAGATGACTAAATTCTTTAATTCCCTTTAAATATGATTAGGCCCCTACTCCCCTACTATAGGCCCTACTATAGGTTAACATGGGGAACTACAGAGCCACTGGGGCGTAGTCCGAAAGGATTTTTGAGATAAGAATATGCCTATATGTTAATCGGGAATGTGAGCTATCATCATGCCAAATTTCAGCCCAATCCGTCCAGTAGTTAATGCGTGATTGAACTTCAAACATAAAACACACAAACTTTCACATTTATAATATTAGTAAGATAAGATCAAACCAAACTTAAAGTTAACATAAAATAATAACATATAAAAGCAGGTAACGGAAAAAAAAACTATTATAATTTCACAAATTTTGCCCAATATTTGTGAAACCATAATAGTTTGTTTAGTTGTCACCTGATTTTATGTCCAATTACATAATTTTAGTATGATGCTAAACTCTCCCTTTTCCATTGTACTCCTGATTTTTGTGGGCACAAAAATAAAACTAATTTTTGGGGCCCTGATAATATTTGAGTTAAAATGTCTTTAGACTAAAATCAGTAGCTTTTCAATGAACATAAGCGACACACCCTACTTATAAGTTCACCACCTGTGTACCTTGGCTGCTGTTACAATTTTATTCCCACCACCAAAAGTCTGACTCTAAGACAAAACTAAGAGCCGTTTTTACTCCACCTCTTAGGTTTGCAATACAGAAAGATTCACTCACAAAAGTCAGGTTGAAGTTCGCTCCTGGATGTCATGGGCAGGTCGGGATTGGACAAGTCTTCTGGCAGTTCATCGTATGACATGTCTCTGTCACTAACCACCGGACCTTCTTCCTCTGTCACTTCCACTTTGACAAACTCCTCCTTTATCCTTTCGCTGATCCACGACGGATCTGTCCTGATCAGCTTGCTATGTTCCGCATGGTTGTGACTTGACGACTTCTTCCGCTTTGAGCTCTTCTCTTTAGTGCAATTCAAGATTTTACTAGGAGGTTCATCGACCTGAAAATTACAAAAACAAGGTATGGTAGTTAGCATAATGAATCCATTATATCACCAGTATCATTTTTATTGAATGTATAATGCTTTAGAGATGCACACAATGCAAACTGACACTCATCACCCCCGCCCAGGCCGATAGATAACAAATTTTCACCATCTTTATGAACATACCACGACAAACCGTATTCAATGGGAGGAATGCAAGTAATCATGGGTGATCCCTTGTCAGTAGTTTTGATAATCTTATGGCAATAAAGGTTTCTGATTGGTTGAGAAGAGACAATGTATCAGGCAGAGGGTACCCTAGGTAGTAACATTACACCTGTTGTTGCAAAGTAAAGTCCAGCTCCTTGGCCCAACTTGGTGCTGATCACCTCGCTTAAGGAGTTTCAGCTCCACCTAGAGCCCGTGGGTAACAGCTAGTAACACTTAAAAGACTATTTGGAATTCTTGGAAGCCGCTACCTTAAGGCTACCTCAGCTAATTTGTATTTGTTTATAACCTATTTGAGGTTAAAAAATAAGATAACCAATTGGAAATTAGTCGCAACAATCAAAAGACTTAAATTATTATAATATTATATTAGTTATATTATTATTATAACAACTGTACATGTTTCCGGAAGTTATTTGATTGAGGTTTTTCATTCTTGCAGTCTTTAAACCTGATACTAACCTGTACTTTCTCATTTGACTCGAATTTCCGTCCGTAAAGACCTCTAACTTGTAAGTCCTCGGCAAGTTGAAGGAATTCAACCAAATTATTTTCTTCTATATATATTTCTCCAGTATACATGAATTTAAGTAGTTGTTTTAAGTTTAAGATGGATGTATCAGGAATTATCACAACTGGATGTATGGCACATGTATCCTGAAAAAAAAACAACAACACTGTTACGTTATACTTTTCAAACCAGTCTTAGTGGTTTTGATCTCAGTAGGAAGGTGAGGCACTGAAGGGCTTTGCCAGCCAATCTCAGTAATCGAAGACATATTGTCTCTGTTAACGGTGAGATGTCAAACGAGATACTGTAATAGTGGATTGCGAAGTGCCTCAGGGGTCCGTACTTGGACCACTCATGTTTTTATTTCTATTAATGTCTTCCAAGTAACATTTCAAAACCTACTAAATCTATTTTATATGCAGATGATACAACTTTCTTTCCAAAGAGCAGAACAATAATAATTGAATTACGACAAATAACCCAAACTGCAATGAGTAATGCCTCAGCATGGTTTCAGTCAAATAAAGAATTCTTTTCAGTTTAAGACCCAAAGATCAGGTGTTTGATAACATAACAATGTGTGAAATTCCGAGGCATGCACATCGATAACCAGCTCGGGGAATCTCACATAGATTATCTATCTACAAGATTATCTCGCGTTGTTTATCTAGTTAGCAGACTGTTGACAGTAGCTATTTATGTAAGAATGTCTTATTTCGCCTTTTTTCAATGTATTTAACGCTATCGCTTGATATTTTGGGGAAGCAGTTCAGGAATTCAGGATGTTTAGTAATCCAGAAAAATATTGGCTTTTAAAAAATCCCTTTTATTCCCTCTCCGAGTTTTTAAAGGTGAAGGAAATTGTATTTTAGCTTGTAAGCTTAAGTTTTTGTAGGCTTATGCTTTATGACCTTTGACTAGTTATATTCTTGACTGTTGCTAACACATGTAAAATGTCAATGGCAAATAAACATTTACATTCTATTCTATTTGAATCAGTCAGTATTGGTGTTTCACGGATGCAAGAGATCTCATTCTATGAAAGTTTATTATTAAATCATTCTTTTTAAACAGACAATTAATAAAAAAGTTTTGTGAAAACTGTAGTACAATAATAATACCAATACAATAATCAAAAAAGTATTATTGCTGCGACAAAAGTACATATTTCCAAGATATAAGAAAGGCAGCTAAGTTTAAACAAAATGTTTATGGAACCTGCATAACTTAATGAATATTTGACAAAAAACTACAGTAGTGTGTCATAGCTTCCAAAGTACATACATGTATTGTTTAGTTGCCATTGATAAAGTCTGCCATGAAGTTGTCTGTTTGTTACACTTCACTAGTTCTTGTGTTTTTGGCTTAAAAGTCTAGTACATTTTAAGGGGTACAGATCTGCAGAGAACCTATGATTGGTTGAAACATATACATCGTATTGGATGTTATTTTCAAGTAATATCAATATTGTTTGTATGTGAGTATGTGTATACCAATTAATAGACCAAATGAGATGGGGACCCCACCTAGATGCATATTTATATTTTAACCCAAATTTGAGTGAAGGTTGAGTAAGTGGAATGAAATGAATTGGTCATAGGATCTTTTCAGGTGAATGGTATATTTCTATATTCTTTCACACTGTACTGCGCCAGTTCTAGGTTAGTTTAGCTTAGTTTATGAAAATAACAGACAAGATAGACAATAGACAATTACCTTTATTGGTAATTTCATCAAGAAATACAATGGCGTCACAAAAATCCAGAATTTTTAACATTTCGATTGTTTAACAGTTTACATTTTCTTTGTCTTAAAAGTTTATAAGGTAACATTTTATTGAAATAAATTTAATATGTTTTGTATATTTTTAAGTGACAAACTCATATAAGTTACATCAATTTTTAATATTGTCCTCTTTTTCTTAAATTTATAAAGACAAATTTGTAAACAATACCATGTTTGTCAATCATAAACTAAACTGAATTGAATTATTAAACTAAATTAATATTAACACCGCAGGGTGTAATAGAGTGGCGGCCTTCTTCTTGAATATTTAAGATATCGAATGAAATATTTTAATCATCAATATAGGCCTATACATTAATGGTGCGGTAAAAAAACGAATCCATTTTCTGCAGCACACTGTTCAGCGACAGGACGTCTGAGGGTGGTTGGGGTAGGCTCGTTGGAAAGCCTATTATCATGGAGCGGTGGTCGCCTGAGCTATGCAGGTTTGTTATGAAGTCGTATTTAAAAAAATAATGATTACGTCATTGCAGCTCAGCGTCAGTTAAGTGCATTCTTTGGACAACATGGAGAGGTTCCGTTGCGTTTATCTGTATGGATAATCAACAAAATTAAACAATTTAATTCAAATTAATCTGTATATGGATGAAAATTAAGATCGAACCTCAAAATTTGTTAAACCAAGCCGTCAGACATGTTCAAAGCTGGCGTTTGTTTCACGGGCAGGCCTACGATGACTGTTTTCCACAACAGCACGAACTCTAACGAATGTTGTCTGGCGTCCAATCTCAATGCCATTGTTCTTAAGTTAGTAACCCACCACATGATTGTGCTACACGACAGAACTTCTCCATATTGACCTTATGGAAGAAATGCACAGAACTGCCGCTGAGTTGCAATGACTGAATCATTACTTTTAACTACAACTCGATAACAAACGCATGTTGTTTAGGTGACCATGGCAGTGAGTAGGCTTTCCAATGAGCTACCCCCACCACCTTTAGACGTCCTGTCGCTGAACAGTGTGTTGTATGTACCTATATAATTTATTAAATGAAAATTTCATACCAAAATAAATTACATACTGTTCTCTGCAGAACTGTACCCATATTAAGTCAGGCTATGAAGGTATCGAGAATCGGTATTTTAAATATTAGCATGGAGAACCGATTTTTAAAATATCAGTATCGAGAACCAATTTTGTTTTAAAGCCTCTTTAATACATAGTCTAGGCATATCTTTTTCAATCACTTACCTTGAATATTTCATTAAAGAATGGACTGCTTGCTGATAAGACAATTTGATGAGAATGGATCTGCTGACCTCCGCAGGACAATGTGACATCCACATATTCATCTTCATTCCACAATGATTCCAAACTAGTCATTAAATTATTTTTGAACGCATTCCACCTCAAACACACTTCATTATCGGTCATTGTAATTTCTGGAAGATTAAAAGTCCATATAAAATAAAATAATTAAGGCAAAATAATGATTATCAAAATTGGATTAGACATACAGTAGCTAGATTGATGAAAATTAGGTTACCTTACCAGGCCTACCTTCTTCTTCACCAAGACCAGCTATGCCGGATAGGTTGTGTCATTAAAGGTTGTTTTAGGTCATTTGTAAATACAATGGAGACGAATAGGCCTATCAAAGTTTCACAGAGGCTCAATTCACTAGAGATTGGAACACAGGACCTCTTGCATATCAGCCGAGCACCTTATCCACTACACCACAAACACCGATGGCTAGACATCGTATCGTTGTGGTAATGAAGTTCCAGGCCCCCACAACCCGGTGACGTCATTACCGGACACCTTATCCACATCCGGGTACCGGACGCGTATCCTCTATGTTCGATATGTATGGGTACCTCCTAAGTGTATTCATCCGATAAGTTAATATATCGTAGGTTCTCTGTGAAAGTCTACCCAAGATGACCATTGCATGTATAATTTAGGCCTAAACACGTCAAGTTCAGTACCTCAATAAGGAAGAAGTATAATGTAGCCTAGATGGGCTAAAGGCTAATGTGAAATTTTACCTTTTATCACTAGCCTATTTAACTTAGTGTTGCAGTAAGAGTACATACTATAAATAGATTTTTAGGAACTTTGCCAGCACAGGACTTAAGTTGGGCTTAATCCATCAAGCATAAGAGCATTCTAGCCTACCTACTTTATGAAAGCTTTATCAAATGGAAAAATTTAGTGTAGTTTGAACTTCTTTGTGCTTAATAATCAGCGTGAATTCAAGTCTACATTTAAAAAAGAAAACGCTCTGGCAAGAAAGTTATAGGTATTCAGAACTAACTAAATCGACTAGAACAGTAGGCTATTTATCTATCTCTTTTAATGTTTTAAGAAAAATTGGCTGCCTAAGGACCAGATAACCGGACTAGAAATATCTCTTATCAATTGAATTACATATCTAGGCTATAAAATAAGTTAGGAAAGTAATTAGTTCTTACCTGTGACTTATTTATACTACTTGTTTAAGGTTAGAAATTTGTTGTTCCGTTACGTGAGGTTATGAAGAAAAGTAATAAAAACATATGACTACAAACACATACGTAATTTATCAGCTGCTGCTGTAACCACCTTGTTGCAGTGCAGTGCAGTACATTTGCAAAATTGTGTATTAAAATAATTGAATTCTGAAGTTCCTAGTTCTTGCCAACCCAACACAAAGAAAATATTAACTGTAAACATATATAATATATATATATTTATATATATAATTCCATTAAACGTATATACCACGAATACTACAGAAAAGACCCGGTATGGATCATAAACATTAACAAATGACGTTTTTGGCCCGAGAGTAAACAAAACCATGTGTTAACTAATATGTCTGTAACTTTTGTCTGTAACTTTTGTATTTATTTGCTCGTCGCTCAATTTTTATTTTAACTCTTGTATTATATTGACTGTATTAACTGAATTCCTTGTTATTTATATGTTTATACATTTATTTACTCAAGACTGAATACAAGATGTATTTACCAACATTTTGACTTATCTATGCATTTCATATGTAAAAAATGATGAATAAATGTCTAAGGCCCGGTTTCCCCAAAATGGTGTAAACTACGTTTATAATAAACTAGTTTATTTTTAAACTCCGTTTAAAATGTGTGTTCGGTTTCTCCAACATTTTACTGGCTTCGTTTAAGATAAACGGCAATTCGAGCGGTTGGCAATCCTGAATGTGTATTTTTAAGGAATCTTCGGTGGGCTTTGGGCTAGTGTTTCCTACAACCACCACAACGCTGCGCTACAAGCCTAGCAGAGCAGACAGCAAAGTGCGAATGCAGCTAGAATAACATCACTGTTTAAGGTTATGTTATCAAGTTAGTATAAGTTGTCGTCAAATTCAGATTCATTCCATTTATTGAAATGGTCAATTCTGTCTCTTATTTTAGTAGGCCCTCCTGTTCTAAGTACTAAAGTGTCATAATCTTCATCTTCTACTACTTCGGAAATGTCTATTAACTCTTCCGTTTGAGGGGGCAAATAAGTTACTGCAATTAATTAATAGTAGCCTAACTTGAAATAAAACCAAATGTACTAAAAAAAGAACTTAATAAAAACAATAAATTAAAATATAAATAAAACTTAACTTAAAGCTATCCCTAAACCAAGCCTATTTTCGTCCAAATGAATTTGTAGTTGCTTCAATTATTATTGTTTTAACACCTACCACTTTTTGTTTTGGTTTGAGGTTATGTTACTGTTGTAATTTACTGATTTGAACTCAGTTTATTTTATCCCCAGTAGTTAAACCAAGTCGAGAGGTGGTTTAGTTTGAACTTAGATTAATACCTAGTTTAAATTTGGAGAAACACAAATCAAAGTTAAACTAAGTTTAAATCGCCGTTTAACTTAAAACTGAGTTTAAATGAGTTGGGGAAACCGGGCCTTAATGTCTTAATAAATGCTATTAGTATATGGGTTTTCACAGTGCAATGAGGTTAAATACTTGGGCTTGACCCTTGATAGAAGACTCACTTGGAAAAGCCACATCTGGAACAAGAGAATTTCGTTAAATTTAAAATTTAAAAATCTTTCTTGGCTATTAACTCAAAATTCTAAATTAACAACATAAAATAAATTACTTTTATATAAAACTATTTTAAAACCAGTATGGACGTATGGTATCCAACTGTGGGGGACATCCAGTGAATCAAATCTGAACATCATCCAAAGATTCCAATCCAAGGTTCTAAGGCACATTTTCCAGGCACCATGGTTCGTTAACAACGAAGTGCTCCATAGAGACAGTCGAACCCCAACGGTCAAAGAAGAAATTTCAAGGTTAAGTGCAAAATACTTAAAAAAATTAGAGTACCATCCCAACTACCTTGCTTTGAATTTGTTGGACAACAGCAACTGTATATATAGATTGAAAAGATGCCATGTTTTGGACCTGAGTAGTCGTTTTTAGAGATTTATGAACTTTAAACTTTGTACCATGCAAAGTTTGTGTGTTAGCTTTATTGTTGGATAAAGACTAACTACTGTGTTTAAATTTTATCATATTTGCTTATTGTTCTATTTTTGTTGAACAGATTACTTTCGGGCCAACAATATCATTTGTTTATGTTTATGATCCATGGTGGAAGGAAAATACATAGTGTGCTATTCCCGTCATTTGCTGACGTCACCCAGATTGCAAACAAAAAAATCAGCTGATCCATTGCCTAAGTATATTGTTTTGATTAGATTGTTATTGTTTTTATATTTTTTCTTGGTAAAATGGTGTTTGCAATTTGAATGATGTCAGCATATGATGGGGAATAGCACACCTATGTAATTCCTTCCGCATGTTTATGATTCATACCGGCATTTTTCTAGTATTAGTACTAGTAGTAGCAGTAAGTATTCTAGTATTAGTATATTTCTAATATATATATAGTATACATATATATATTTACAAAGTAATGAATTTACTTTTTATTGGTTGGAAACGATTCTTCAGGAAAAATTTAAAAGTTCTATTGTATAAATCGGAGATAGTTAAATAGAAAATACTTTTTAATTGGACCTCTTATTGTTGCAGTATTATATTGTTATGCTTACCTATATATATTATTGTAGACAACCTTATTATATGCTTTGTATTTAAGTCTTATTTGCATGGATCTGATCCAGATTATTAGGTTAAGTTGTGTTAATAAGTCACTTTCTTGAATTCCAACATTTTCCAATAATTTTATTTTAGAGTTGTTATTTATTACTCATCTTGTAACCGTATACATTGCAACTGTGGCCCATTGTGAGAGTTTAATATAAACTGACCTAACTAATACTGTTAGGTTTTTAATTCTGTCATTTTGGGTCCAAGCTGAAATCCAAATTTTTTAAGTTGCTTTTTGATCTGTGCAACAGTTTAGGTCAGCTTTAAATAACTGTAATTTATTATATCAAAGCTGTAAAGAAGCTGCATTTTTACTGCAAGCCAGCTATAAAAAAAGCTGTATTTTTACTGTAAACCAGCTGTAACTAAGCTGGATTTTTAAGGTAAGCTAGCTATAAATTAACTGTAAATAAACTGAGTTTCAAATGTAATCCAGCTGTAAATAAGCTGTATTCTTACAAAAGGCAGCTGGATACCAACTTGAATGTTCAAGCTGGAATAAAATAGCTTGAAATGGAATACTCATTGATGTTTTTGCTTCCAGCTGTGGTACAGCTTATAAAATGTGACATATTACAGTAGTTGGCAACAAGCTGGAATATAGCTTGTTGTGCTATCTGGGAACTATATTGATAAAATGTTTCTAGCAAAGCACTCATCACTGTACGGTACATCAAAATGGAATGTCCGTCGGAAAAAAATTTCCATTTGGCTGATTGGATTTACACTAAAATGCCTCCTTAAAAATACCACATTCAGAATTCTACTCCCTATTTCAAATGAATTAGTACGAGTACTTAGGTTTGCTATAACATGGAGAGTAAAAAAGGGTGTTTTGTTGTAAAATGTTAATAGTTTAGTAAAAAATGGATGTATTTCCAAATTCGATCAAAATATGTTCACAAACAAGCAAACTAAAACAGTTGACTTATTCCCCATAAGAATAACATGGGAATTTTCAATTTTATTATTTATTTTAAATTATCTCCATAACCATTAGGCACACGCTTCAAAATATTAAATTATTTGTTTTTTAAGCTCAAAAAAATAGTTTGGAAAGAAATTGTGAATTTTTTTAGTTTTAGGGTCAAAAATGGGAACCCATATTTTTACCCCACTAAACCCCCCCATAAACCCCTGTTCCCATAGTCTGATCATGCTGGTTTGCGAACTCGTTTGAATAAATGTAGGTTTACACGTTACAAAATTTAATCAAAATCGGATGATTTTTGCTTTAGTTATTGTGCTAACGGACAACACACACACACTATAATAACACATAAACTAAAAAACTATAAAAATATCATTCAATGATTCAAATTCATAATATTAAGACACCGTATACAATCAAAATATAAAACCAGTACAAATGTATTTCCATTTATTTGATTTTATTCTTTGATCCAAGAACAAATTATTTGAATTTAGAGGTCATTAAGGAGCTATCAGGAGCATTTAGGATATCTACGAACCTCCCTCAGGACATTTACCTTACAGATTAACAACAAAGAAAGCCAAATTATACCATTAGTCAAAATAAGGATTGGCATGTTAGAAGCATTTTACCATGGCGGGCAGATGGTTGTGTTTGGGGTTGATTTATATATTAGTGCTTTGTGGTGCAATTGCTGAGGATTTTACACCTGATGAAAATGAGGAAGAAGGTAAACATAGATGGTTTTCCCCTAAATTCTTTTGAATTTTTAAGCTCTAGATGTTTATACTTTAAAAATATCAAACAACTTGTTGCTGTTTGTGTTGGTTCTATACGAGTAAATGATAAAACAACTTGCGGCAGCACTTTTAATATTTTTACACTTGTACGTAAACATTTATTACAAGACGGGAAATATAACAGATGTTACAACTACAATTGATTCTGACCTGTCAGATTACAGATTATGATTATTATGTAGAAACGTGTTGAAAGACATTTTGTATTATATTTGTACAAGTACAAATCCTTAACATCCTTAGCTTAAATAGGGGTTGAATTTACCTCAACACTAGAAATGTGTACGAATTATTAAGAATTATAATAATTTGTTTATGAAAATCTGAATTCTTTTTAAGTAAACTTCTATTATTGTTCATCTCGACAATTAATTACATAATTAATTATAAACCATGTAGATAATTATATTGAATTTTTGAAAATGTAACACTCCTTCTGATATACAACAAACGTTATGTTGTTTTCATGAGCTTATTACCTAAATTTGAATACAAAAATTTTGTTGTAGAAAAAGGGTCATTTTGAGAAAAACCATTTTGAAAATTTCAAATACACACAAAAACAGTTTTTTTCGTATTTAAGAAACGATAAAAAAAAGGAAAGCTTATAATGTCCTATTTGGAGGCAAAACCAATTTTTTTCTTAACTCCCGGTAGTTTTCATTATTAAATAATTGTTTTATTGAAGCATGTCGTAAAAATCACATTTCAGAAAAGGGACCTGTTGTCAACCCTATCTTATTTCTCCATAAGATAAGAAAAGGCAGGTACCTCAAATTTGTGAGATATTTTGTTTTCTGTACACTGAACTTTGTTGTCGTTCTCTAAATTTCCTCTAGAATGCAGGACAATTCAATTTTCGGACTACAGTCTGTTTATAAAGTGAATATTAGAAATGGGACCTCTTGTCGTTATGGCGAAATAACATTGAGCGACAAGAGGTACCTTTTCTCAGACCATGCAGAGGCTAACAAGATGATTTATTTCAACCTTTTACGTCTTCAATTTGACATTTTAACCGGTACTTTCCTGTTCTATGATAAATAAGGTATAACAATCGATAAAACCCCGAATTTTGATATTTTCGACCTTTATTACTTATATTGGCCGTACTGAAAATTTTGCATCGCCGACAAGAGGTCCCTTTTCGCTTTCCACATCACATATAGCTTCATTTATCATGATTTGTACTATTCTTTTTTGTTTGAGCGAAGAATTTATAAAAATAGTTTTATGCCGTCAACTACAACTCTTTTTCTTGATAAAACAGATTGGCCAGAATGTGACATCAACTTTCTCCAGGGGAAGTACTCGATAATTCACCCAAAGTTCTGTGACCGTTTCTTCGCCTGTCAGAATGGTGTTCCTTATTTAATGCAGTGTGAGGATGGATTTGGCTATTTACCTTTTCGGGGCTGCAAGCTCTTACATCTTGTCGACTGTACTGGTCGACCTCAACTGCGTAAGTTTGTTTGTTCTCTTTTTTGTTCATTTTTAATTTTATGTGTATTCTACACCTGTAAAGGTTTACTATGTGTTACATTTGAGGGTGTGTCTAGTCTAGTGGTTTGAGCTCAATATTTCTATCCTGAAGTTCTGGGCTCAACACTCACCAATCACCGGTAGCTTCTGTCTGGTAATGATGCGACCTTGTAGTTTAAAACCCAGCTTAATCTGTAGTACCAACCATCTATAAAGTAAACAGCATTAGAAATCTGACACATACTTTTTACCATGGATTAATATACTCGATCCCTTATTTATCATCCTTGGATCAGCAGAAGACAATTTTGAGTTTTAGTTTCTCTACTGTACTAGGTATATGGGTATTAGATAGAGGATGTTTTGTCCTCGATTATTTATTCTTTTTAGTTTGACAACTACTGTAAAAGACTATCTGACTAAATAAAAAGGTTTATATGTGTCTCTTTGATTGCACTATGGTTTTAATACAAAATTAAATCAAACACACTCTATCTGTAAAATTCACCATAAAAAAAGAGACACGTAGTAAAAGCAAACTCAAGTGTAAATGATGAAATACATACAAAAGCGTCAGATTCAACTTGTTACTGTGAAATCTTATTAATATAAAAATGTGTGTTTGTTTGAAGTTCAATTACGCATTAACTACTGCTCGGCTTGGGATGACAAATTGGTATGGTGATAGCTCACATTCCTGATTAACATATAGACATATTTTTATCTCAAAAATCCTTTTAGGCTCCACCCCATTGGCTCTGGAGTTTCCCATGTCAACCTTATGAGCATTCATATTTAAAAGGAAGAATTTTGTCAGCTGTGTAAACTACCCAAGTTGGTTCTATGATATTAAATAGCATTAAGAAGTTATAATGTTTACCAACAGGGTGCAGCACTATTAGTTTTTTTAACATTTATGACAACAGCTAATTTGAACCAACTAGCAACAAAAAGCATACAATGAGAATGAGACACTTACTTTGTTTAGGTGCAGTGGTAGAACATTATGGCTATGGTAGATGTGCTATATTATAGCATACGGTAAATTAAAAGAACCAAATTTTCTTAAACCGTGTCCTCTCCCATTGCAAACACAAAGCCAAGTAAAACTGCAATAAGCATTTTATACTCATGCGCCAACCCCGGTACTCTGCTAGTGTTTCATATATGTAACTGTGTCTAACTTTAAATGTTTTCTTAATTTTATTAGTCAAATCTGACACTCTTCATATGAAGAAAGAAAATGGCCTTTGTACCGCCTGATGATGGCTCCATGTATGAGCTGAAACTAGAGTAGTTGTTTTTGAAATTTGATTGGATTGCTTAGTAGGCGTTTAAACCTTTCTTAATATTTGGCAATCAGGAGGCTAACATCTACAATGAAAAAAAATACAGTCTGTACTGTATATTTTACAATTGGATGATAAGACTACTTGCAATGCCAAATTTCATGGTTTTTTTGTAACACTACAACACCTCCAAAACTTGAAAGAAAAGCCTTGTTTTAGAGAGGCCGAGAGGTAATGCCCAATGTCCTCGGCTCTATGGGATCTTCAACGACCCCCGTGGATGCGGCAGATTTTTCAAATGCGTCAACGGAACTGCAGTAGAGGACAGATGTGCGTCTTCACTCATGTTCGATGATGTCAACAAATTCTGCCGAGATGCGACGAGGGAAGAAGCAGAGGCTTGTAGGGAACCTGCGTTGATAGGCTGCACTTCAGGTTAGATTTTGATTCAATATTTTTTTGTACCTAGTAGAGTAGTTTATAGTATGGTGTTAAATATTTTTTTATGGTAAAACTTTAGTTTATTTCAATATTCTAGACATTCATACATTTTTAAATTAAGGACAGAGATCCATTCACTTTACTTTTGTCTTGAATTTAATGATTTCTTTTGGGAAAAGACTATCATATTACAGTATGTTGTGAAATAGTCACACTAAGTTGTTTTGGTGGCCAAATTCAAGGGATGGATTTCCACTAGATTGTTTGAATGGGTTTACGATCATAACGTGCTCCACTTCTTCAGATTAGGTGGTTAATAATTTTTGCCTTTGTATAATTGATAATAACCAAATAATGTTTCAAATACTAATGTAATGACAGGTAATTATAGTTTTGGAAGAACGACCAATGGTTTTGTACTTAAAGGTTTTTTTAAATGTAAAACTACCATTTTATTTTGAGTCTTAAATCATCCCTTGGGTTGTGAAGAGTCCTTGCAAACACATACACACAAATAAATGAACATCAATCAAAACATTAGCAAGAATTTAGTTAAACATCAAAACTGTCTGTGTCAAATACAGTAATGCTCATGGTGTTTCCCTTCAGATGGGAGTCATGACACAGTTATCACAAATCAACTCTCAACAGCTCCAGTATTGAAAAGAATTTGTAGTCAAAACTACTGGTTATCCAGCCATAACCAAGATCACTTGACAGAACAAAAAATATTTTAACCTTTAATATAGGTACCTATAAAGAAAGGCCTTATTTTTGACAAGAGTGACAAGATTTATTGGGCAAAGCCAAAAAAAGCTTTCTAAAACTTCTATCTTTTGCCTGCCCAATGCAATTCTCCTCTAAATGAACTGTACTCTATTTGCATACTTTGTTATGTTAAGTTTAAAACACTGGATGTTACAGATAACACCAATTGCTCTTGGTTCAACTGCCCAATTGCAGATGTTTTACCATTCGGAGACCATTCCCGGCACCCGTACCCCGGCAACTGCCACAGGTTCATCATGTGTCTGAAAGATGGAAGTGTAAAAGTCGGAGGCTGTGAGGCCGGGAAAGCTTACAACCCGGTTTCAAGCACTTGTGAGCCGGAGAATACTGTGCAATGTTGATCATATGTCCATAAATTATAAATACACCTGTATAAGTTTACTTACGCTCAAGAATAACAAAATATTTATTGATTCTTATAACAACAGTGCAATACTTTCCTGAAATGGCGATGAAGTAATTTACCCGAGTACGAATCATAGGATGGTGAGATAGCTTAACGTAGGTTTGTTATTTAAACTGGTTTTTAGTACGGTGCAATTAGCCAAAAAGATGGACTAACCTCAACATCAAAAGTGAAAGCAAACGTTTGACTTCAAACTACACTAGACCCCCACTTAACTGACCTTGCATTAACCGATAATCAGATTATCCGCCCAAGCTTTGAGGGCAGTTTGATTTAACCGCTGATTTGGAATCTTGGCATTTCCTCTCCCTTGCTCAGCGATGGGAACAATACGCTAAACTCTACAGCAGAACGTTACCAAGAATAAGTTGTTTTGTATTTCCTAATTAACATCCTGTCTCCAAACGAAATGGTGGTTTGTATATTTAATTTCAATAATAAGTTCTCTACTGTTTTACAATTAATTTGGAAAGCAACAATTAAATATTACTATGTACCGGTATTAAAATAATAATTTAAATTGACTTGACTCTTGCTTACGACTATAATTTATTCCACTAAAAGTATTTGACTTAACTGTGGTTTGGGTTTATTTCTGACTTTTCTATTGCCAAGACTTACGATAAAGGAGAAAGTGTGATTTATTTTTTACATAATGCATGGACAACTCCCAAATAATGGTTATATGAATAATTCCAAATAAATAACACTTGATTTTTATTTTTATTTTAGGGATTTCCCTTTTTAACTGACCTTTTGAGTTATCAGAACTAGGTCCAGTCCCGGCTGGGTTGGTTAAGTAGGGTTGGTCTCCTGTATTTAGTATAGTCCTTGTAATCCATGGTAAAATTTTACACCGTTCTAAGCGACGGGTTTACACATTTTTCAACTTCCCCATACTTGACAAAAATTGTGTAATTTTTTACCATACATTACGGGGACTATATTGAATAGTTTTTGGAGTCAAAAGTTGCCTTTCACTTTGGATGTTGAGGTTTAGGTCTAATTGAACCATACTATTACTTAAGTTTATTAAGTTTGTTTTCTCTATATCCAATAATTATAAATCTTTGTATGAACACTGAACAGACACCACTTAATAAAATGGTTTATGTTTTTTCTATGTCTTCTTTTTATATCCCGAATGATATTTTTTATATGTATTTCAAGTAGTGAATGACCATAATTATTATTTAGACATTGGCTACATTTGTATTATGGATTATAAAGCACAATTCATTCTTGACAAGTCACAAGTCAAGGCTCGGTGTATATGTCTCGGTTGCATATTGTTAAATATTGTTGTTGTTATGTTTTTGCACTTCATATTTTACCTGTTGTTGTTATCTATGCGCCATATTATTTGCTGGTTACGTCTTTTGCATTTAATGCCTGCTTTTCACTTTCATTCTTTTTTTTATTGCACGTATTTTAGTAGCCTTTACCAAATTTGCTATGTTTATGTATGTCTTACAATTGAAATGTTTCAGCCTATGAATGTATTTTTGTTCTCTTTTATACTGGTTATGTCTTTTGCATGTCATGTTTTGCTTTCTAATTTATTCTTGTTATTGCTCATATTTATTACCTAATTATGCTATGTTTATAAAGTGATCAATCCTATTCAATGTATATTCCAATGTAAAAATCGTGTTACCGTTGAAAGAATAAATAAATAAATAAATAAGGCTCACATGGTAGGATGAAAGCACTAAGATACTATGTTTCACATTTTAGTTTTGTTTGCCAGAAACGTTTACACAATTTCATTCAATATTCAGAACCAATCAATCAGTTTGCAGGTAATGATATTTATTTACTATCCACCAACTTGAGTCCCTTTTCCATAGTGTTTCAAGGATATTGGGGAAATAAATCATTTGTCATCATAGTATTTTTACTAAAAACTCTTTAAAAAGACTGTGTTATAATATTCTTTTTGTATTTGAAGATTTACAGTAAAAAACTCATTACATATTTGCAAAGTCAACAAAAACCTATAGTATGCTTGCAGTGCTATAAAAGAGTACACATTCCGAAGTTTTACAATAGTATCTGGTGCAAGTAACTGGCTATTATTTAAGCTTTTGCTAATTTCAAGATGATAAGTCGGAAGAAGATTGATTTGTGGATGTATGCCATCATTTTAAAAATGTGTCACCTTTTGGGAGTGCTTCCCATAGAAACAAACACCATTTTCAGAACCCCTGTTATTCCGCTCAACAATCGTACTTTTGATGACAGTAAGTGATTAATGTAAAAACTAGTAAATGAATGATAAATGCACACTCAAATGTTTTCAAGTAGGGTATGTACACCCTTTGGAGATAGCTATTAGTTATTCACCAATCTTATAGCTAGCTGAAACTTTACACAGTACCTGTTCCAAAGAATTTACGATACTAATGATAATTTTATTTACTTAACTACAGTTGATTATTAAGCTGCCTACTTTTTGTCTCTTCACTTTCCGTGTGTTAAACTCCGGTAGCAAATCATAATGTGAGTTACTTTTACATTCATTATCAAATAGAAACAAAAACTACATATTATTTCAGTTCTTTAAAATACAAAATAATTCTAGTCTATATATATATATATATAATTCAATGTATGTTTGTCTGTCTGTTTTTTGCTAATCGGTTTGTCTGTTTATAGTGCTGTTTCCTAACTTGTAAATCATTCCGCTGATTGATTTTCCATCTGCTAAATATTAAAAATAATATATAAAAACATAATTATAAAATAAGGACAATATAATTAGTTAAGTAATTTGTATCAATTTACAGGTAGCCATAAGGAACACAGTAGGAGAATATTCACAGCTGTTCAAATTATTATCAGTGCAATATTCGCCCATGAGATGGCTCCAAAGTTATCTGATTTTACAAGTTTTGCTCCTGTGGCAATGTTATGGCTGATAAATTGGAGCTCAGCGCTTTCTATTCTTTTATGCTCATTCTTCTCTGACGATTCTTTGGCAGACTGCTTTTACAAAGCTTGCCAAATTTATCACTTTTCAAAAACCAACCTCAACCCCCTCTCTTTGAAGCTGTTTTTATTTATGATTCTGTATCCTTTTGCACAGTTTATTTATGCATCTTTATATATTGGTATCTCTAGTAGCAAAATAATCACTCGCTTTTTCATATTTAACTTTGCTTACATTCCTACTGGAATGGTTGCAGCACTTGTTTCAACATATTGTATCATAGCTCAAAATGCTTACCATAATATAAACGTAAGATTATCTCGTTTCTTGAAAAAAAGAATTTTGAGCAACATTTCGTTAACCGTTGATCAACTTGAGCATTATTTAGAAGTCACAAAGTTCACATCAGGCTTTGCCAAGTGTTTTGGTGTATTTTTTCTGATTATATTTTTGTCTTTCACATTCCGTTTGATTATCTACACTCTGCTTGTTGTTAAACTGCGGAGAATCGGCCATTTTCACGATTTCCTAGCTTGCGCTGTTCACACATTTTACTTCATATTTTGGCTCCTGTTTCTCTGCTATAGATGTTACACTGTTCAGCGAGAGGTGAGAATTTTTCACACTTTTAAATTTTAATCAATAGGGCATTTTATATTATTATATTTGTATTCTAATTATTAGTCAAATACAATGAATACAAACCCTTTAAGAAGCGAAATGCTTATGGAGAATAGTCAGACTGGAATTTTGCCGGTAAAATGAGCATCCCGAGGCTGCTGCTACGATCGCTTGCGCGGTCGCCGCGCTACTCTATCTCTATCTCTCTCGAAGCCAATTCTTTGTCTCACTCAGTCTTGGCCGCACGCTCTTGATTGTCTACCTAGCAGCCGCCGCGGGAACTATCGAAAAATTCAAGTATTTCCAGACTGATTTTTTTACAAAGTTATTGCGCTTCTTAAAGGGTTTGTATTCATTGTCATATATTTGATTCCTCTCAAATAAAATTTATATAAACCACCAAACACGGTTTCACATTATTTTACAGTGTTCAGTCAAGTTCAAATTCAAACTATAGAAAAGTAACTATTCCTCACGTGTTAAGGGTGCGCTTTACCTCGCCTCGGATTTCTCAGTACGATGTTGCTGAGCGCCGATGTTCCTATACCATTGCATTGAACAGCGTCATGAAGAGTGCTTTGTAAGCCTTTTAAATCTGGGTGGTTACATTGTTATCAAACCTTTTAGTAAACTAATTGCATATTCTTGTTTTTAAAAATCTATTGCACTTCCCTTGTTTGTTATTTTTTCTCTAAAAACTATTTGTATGCTTTAAAACTTGTGATAAAAACGCATATTTTAACATTGTTACCAACCTTTTAGCCAAATATCTTAATTCAAAACAGCGCAGGACCTACAATAATTAATTAACGAAAAATATGAACCAAGATCTTTAAAATCGGTTCACAATTGGGGCTACAACCAGTAAGAACCAAAACCCTTGCATTTGCACGTGCCATATGGTTAGAGCGCAGCCTTAATGTACATTTTGAAACTTTGACTTTTTAGTTAAATAAATAATTAAATTATAAGTTTTTTTGAACAAACTAACCGATGCTTTAAATTTTGGCGTTACAATTTATTATAATTGAAAACTCTTAACCTAAGATATTGTATTTATCAGGGTGCTTTGATGTTTGCTGAATAAAACTACGACCAAGTAAATCTTTTACATTAAAAAACCATGAAATTTATAACTACAAAATAATAGTTTGAATCTACTTTAATCGTTTATCATTGACCATTTAAAAAAATATCTTAGCTAAATAGGTAGTCAGTTGTTCTTGATAATGTTGGAGTTCAAATCATCTTTCATTCTTCTTCACATTACACACCCTTATACCATGAGACAAATAGAATAAATATAGACCAACAGCAGTCCTGCGGTTAGAATATGTTCCCGCGTCCACCACTAGGTGTGCTGTGTAGTTACGGCGCACACCGCTGCAGCGTCTGCTGTTAGCATACGGCTCCTCCCCTGCAGCTGTGTGTGCCGTAACTACACGGCACTCCAAGGGGCAAATCGTGGAACCTTCCTTTGATTGATATTTATTCAATGGTCTATGCTTATACCTTTAGAGATTCATTCTAGATATTAGATCTATAATGATTATCCTTGAAATCACCATCGGTATTATCGTTTATCCTTATCTCATAATCCAAAAGAAATGTATTGCACAGAATGATATTTGAACAGCTGTGAAATAAAACTCGTATTCACTTTTTACGCTTAAAGAAAAGTTTGTGTTTAACAAATTATTGGTTGAATAAAGTACTGGTTTTACTACAGTAAAATGATAGCTTCTCTCAATTTTTCAGAGTCATACTCCAGAAGGAGTAGCAGATTTTTCACAGTGGTTCAGATATTCATCTGTGCAACGTTCTCCAGCGGAAATGCTCCACACATTACTCAAATAACGGATTTGTTACCAAATGCTGCATTATGGCTAATCAACTGGATATCTGCCATATTAGTCTTGATTCTACCTTTATTTTCCAATGATTTACTATCTGATTGTTTTTTCAAAGCGTCATCAATTCTCTTCTCTCCGTTTCTTCTCACACATTTTCCAATAAAGCTTTTTCTGTTTTTATTCATCTGCCCTTTTGTTCAAATAATATATTTGTTCTCTGTCTTGTTTTTTGTACCAAGAGCTAGAGTGATGTCGTTCATTGACATTTTGCACCTCTTCAGATATAACTACGCTTACGTACCTGTCGCTACCGTAGAAGTTCTAATATCAATCCTATGTTTTCTGGGAGAGTCGATTCATCAAAGTCTAAACAACCAGTTAATTCAACTCAGTCAAAAAAGGAAACTAAACTCAAATAAGTTTTCTTTGTTCAAGAATATCGTTGAGGAACACCTTACAGCAGCCAAGTTTATCAACAATATCGCAAGATATTTCAGTTCTTTTTTCCTCGTAATATTTTTATCTTGTCTCTTTCGACTTATAATTTACACGGTTTTAACGGTTAAGAACAGAAGAGATGGGAACGTTTCTGAATTCATCACCATTGCTAACCACTGTATTTACCTCATATTGCGGCTTTTGTTTTTATGCTATAGATGTCACAAAGTCAAACTAGAGGTAAGATTTTTATTTATGATTAAATTTACGTTTATAAGATTTTAAATGAATATTGAATGAAATGAAATGAAATATTTTTAAGCTTTTTGGGAGAATCCTGCCCAAACCTAATTTTCCATTTTATGTATGGTTTTAAAAATACTACTTCCTCTAATCATGCTGTCAAGGTTACCTACAGACAAAAAACATAACTATATAATTCAGAGCATTTGTATTCATATCTAAGAGTCAACTCGATGTTTAACTTTTTAATAGGTTACATAATTTAAACAGCTGTATTGATAATCAATTTAAACTCTACTGGAACTTAAATAATAAAAACCAAAATTAGTTGTAATAAAAACGTGAGTTAACCATTGCTTTTACAATAGAAATGAACTATACCGGGCCGATAGCTCGGTCCCCTGGTACTGTCGTATAATAGTACTAGTCTTTTGTTGTCTTAATGAAAAATTAGTATTTGAACAAGCAAATATCAAAGATGTTTCTTGATGATTAAAAACTGGCCAAGTGTCTTTGTTTTCAATATTCAAGACAAGTTATCTGAAATATTTTAAATTTTAAATCACAGGCAGCCGAGACAAGGGATATTGTACGCAAGTTGAGAGTTCAATGGAATGACCAGTTATCAGAACCACAAGCAGAACTGGTAAGAAGTAAGAACATTGTGCTTGTTTAAATGTACGGTAATTTCTTTGTTATGACTGCAATTAAAATATTTTCTGCGGATTTTACCACTTCTGTAGTAAACCTATTTTTGGGTGGTATCCTATTAAACTTACTTTGACCTAATGGTAGGGATGAGAATTATTTTTTTCTCAAATCAAAGGATAGTGAATTGAAGGAAGAAAGAGGAACACTTTCAGAAGAATTTAAAAAAATACTAGGTGAAACCCCTCAAAGTTGCAAGATCATTTAACCGATCACTAAAGATAAATCAATGGTAAATAACTCAATTTTTGGAACAATTTGATTCGGCAGTGTGATTTAGGTACGTCTGATCTTAATAATCAATAATTCAAAAAAGGTGGTGGTGGCACTGAAGGTTCATAGATCAATACATAGGCTATAGGATAACATTATTAGAATTGATTATATCTCAAACTATCCATATTCGAGAAATAATCAAATTTATTTTTAATTTTAAATTAAATGAAAATAAATTGCATGATCTACTTTGCAAAGCTGTTTAAATTGCAGGTAGATATCTATGAGGAACTAATGGAAGCATTAGCTGTCAAATTCACTGCATGTGGATTTTTCCCTGTTAGCCTGGGTCAGGTTTTTAATGTGAGTATATATTTAAAATTTAAAGCTCCAAAGCATCAGAGAGTTTAAATTTATTTTGATGAAAAACAAATTGATTATTTAAGTTTTTAGGCGTAACTACCACCACGTTAGCACGAAACATACAGCTGTCCGTGTGAAAAGCATGCATTTTCTAAATTTAAACTGGCCAGGGATTGCCCTTGTGCCTTATAATGGTGACTGCGAAAGCATGACCGCTGCCGCCAACTGCAAACTTTCGTGGTCCCGACTGTAATACAGAATGTTGTGATTATTCAATCCTACAAAACAGTTGGTGAAGGTTTAAACATCTGTTTTTAAATTTTATTTATTTGTAAACATTGTAGTTCCAAAAGTCTGACATTGTACCCCTTAAAAACCTCTGGGGCAGAGCCCTTTTGACGCATCTACACATAACTTCACACAAACCATCCTTGAATAATGCTTAATAAGGGTGCGTACACAAAGAACGCCGGTTGCCGGCGCCGGCAAACCGGCAGCTTGCTCCTCGTGCTTATAAGCGCGGCAAAAGCTTGAAGCCGTACATAAAGAAAGCTGGTAACAAGCGCGACAAGTCAGTTCACTTTGAGTAGTGTCAAAGATGTCTTCGTCTAGTGATAATGTGTTTTTGGTGGAGAGTGTTCATGTAAAATTATTGCAAAGGAGGAAAGTCGGTGTTCATGTTATTAATAGACATAGGAAGAAACTTGGTGAATACCATCACTTGTTTCCGCAACTAAAAGGTGACCCACAACGGTTCTACACATACATGAGAATGGAGCTAGCGACTTTCGATTACATATTAAGAAAAATTGAAGGACGTTTGGTTAAAAAGTGGTCAAACTGGCATAAACAACCAATAGAACCAGAAGAGAAGTACCAATAGAACAACAACAACCAATAGAACCATACACTCTGTTCGCGTGCAACTTCTCCCGTTTATCCCAAATCGCCTTCTTTTGATAAACTTTGGAAATTAAATCATCTGTATCAACCATCGCGCTATGACACCCACCAACTGCACAGTACAGAGACCACTCGCGGACTGAGCCGGTTGCCGGAACCGGCTTATAAGAATGTTCTCTTCATACTTGTTTGCCGGTTGACGCCGGCAGCTCGCGCTTGTTGCGCTTGTTGAGCCGGCACCGGCGTTTACTGTGTACGGGCACACTTGAAACCATGTTAAGTTCTTCTCGAGCCGGGACGCGCTTACAGCGGCCGGTTTGCCGGCGCCGGCAACCGGCGTTCTTTGTGTACGCACCCTAATGCATGAAACTTTCATTACAATATCTGTCGAGTAGTTTCGGAGTCTATAGGGTCAGGGTGTTGAAAATGTCTGGAACCAACATTATATCTGGTGAGTGGTTATAGAAAAACAACTGATATTTTGTGTACGGATATACTATGGTTTTACCTATCTTTTGGTGCCTTATGAAAATTTTTACCCCTTATAGGGAACGTCCTGTGGAGGATGCAGTACAAAGTTTTAATGGAAGCCTATGGTAAATGATACATCGTTTTAAAGGCCATTTTTTTCTGAGTAAGGATCCACAAGTTTCATCTCAAAAGGACCACCCTAGCAAAAATGGCGACTGTTTGAAATTTAAAAAAACCATTTATAGGGAACGTCCTGTGGAGGATGCAGTAAAAAGTTTTAATGGAAGCCTATGGTAAATGATACATAATTTTAAAGGCCATTTTTTTCTGAGTAAGGAACCACAAGTTTCATCTCAAAAGGACCACCCTAGCAAAAATGGCGACTGTTTGAAATTAAAAATTCCGTTCCCTATAAGTTTTTTTTTAATTTCAAACAGTCGCCATTTTTGCTAGGGTGGTCCTTTTGAGATGAAACTTGTGGATCCTTACTCAGAAAAAAATGGCCTTTAAAACGATGTATCATTTACCATAGGCTTCCATTAAAACTTTGTACTGCATCCTCCACAGGACGTTCCCTATAAGGGGTAAAAATTTTCATAAGGCACCAAAAGATAGGTAAAACCATAGTATATCCGTACACAAAATATCAGTTGTTTTTCTTTAACCACTCACCAGATATAATGTTGGTTCCAGACATTTTCAACACCCTGTATACATACATACATACATACTTCCTCTTTTATAGATATAGATTTTAAAAATATACAGTAATCAGAATTGATTATTCTTTTAGATATTTATCAATTATATAAGATTACACGGGGAACCACAGAGCCACTGCAGTGAAGTCCGAAAGGATTTTTGAGATAAGAAAAGGCCTATAAGTTAATCGTGAATGTGAGCTATCATCATACCAAATTACAGCCCAATCCGTCCAATGCGTGATTGAACTTCAAAGGAACAAACATACAAACAAAAACACAAACTCTCACATTTATAATATTAGTATGATTTTAAAAACATAATCAGAACTGATTATTCTTTTAGATACTTATCAATTAGCTTATTTATTATACTTCGTTCACAAAATTAGCCGGTTTAAGGGATAGTTCCCCCACAATAAAGAAAAAAACTTAGTATGTTGCTTAGTCAGCAGTTGAGCTATTATTTTAAGGGTAAGGGTCAAGTTGAAGTGATAGATTTCTTCCCCTAAAACCACCTTAATATTGTGAACAAAGTATACACCATGGCACTTAGTTTAGAAAAACTTTCTCAACTAAATACATTTTTACATGAAAAATATAGCTTTAAGTTTAGGTATTTCTATTTACTTTTTCTGTGTGTGTTGTTAGGTATTAGGACTGACGATAACGTACGGCTTACTGGCAGCTCTTCAATCTTAATTAAATTCTCAGATATTTGAACATTACAGTTATTTTTAACATAGACAAGTGTTACAAAACATGTGGACATCTTTGCCTCTTACGTGTAAAAATAAGTATAAAATGTACAGTAGATTGGTTGTAGCTTAGATAAGCATCATATGGTATATGTTTTATTGTTCTCTATATGTGGTTTTGTATTCCCTTGCTTCATCAGACAATAACCATAAAGGGATATTAACATCAAAATGCTAACATAAATTTAACTATAAAAGTCTGGTAAAATTTAATTTCAAAAGACGCAAATATAGTTTTACGGTTAACACTTCTTTTATAAAACAAGGACGGTTCTCTTGAAATTTTACTTTAAATGTTTAAATGGGCCATATCTAAAAATAATAGCTACAGTAAATAGAGTTTTGCATTATATTACAGGCACTAAACAAAACTTTAAATAGGTACCAAAATAATTTGTGACCCCTCTTCTTCTACAGGATGTAATCTTCAAACCTTGTACTGCTTCTTAGAAAGATATTCTCAGTTGTACATGGTGGATCTGGAAAGTTTAAAATTAAAACATAATTTTTTTCATTTTGCTATGTTCTACGCACAATTATTTGCAAAAATGGGAGTAGGATACACGCAGACACTGCTGTTCGTAAAATTTAGGCGGTTTGAGGGGGAGTTCCCTTTCACTCAATATACGTATGGCACAACTGATTTATATTTTGGCAAACCTCAGCTATATTGAGCTATTAAAGGTTTATAGGTTCAAGTGGAGGGGGTAGATTTCTTCTCTTAAAACCGCATAAATATTGTGAACGGAGTACAGTGAACATGTAATTTTAATCATTTATTGTAATCTGTGAAAAATATACTTATAGGTTTAACTTCAGGGAGTAAGGCTCATATGGGTACATTAACTTTATTTCAATTTTTTTGTATTATTCTCAAACACCCACATTTGTACAGTGGTTACTATTGGTTACATTAACTTCTCAAAAGTTGGTAGCACTGATTCCTTTCCTTCCCACATGTTTCTAAGGCAACGAAATATTCAGTTGAAAGGGACACTGTTTGAGGTTATGTGTGAATCAGTGAATTTGCGAACTTTGATGTGTTCTGAAACCCATTTATAATGTACATATACACTTAATAATTTTTGTTTATGATATTTTATGCTTTCGCCTTTCAAATAATATTTAGTTTACTACATTATCTTTTAAAACGAAACCAGAAATTTGATTTTAATATCTGTACTCATTTGCGTACAAATCTCAAATGTCTTTGAATCTCAAAAAACGTCCCTGAAGAGGTTAAGGTATATATTTATTTTTATTATGTTACCAGAATAGTAGTATATTTTCCAATGTAGGGTAGACTACATTTTGCTCTATGGAATTACCTTACGGAGACAATCAACAAATAGTAAAACCATATATAAATCAAATCCCAAAGTACCAATGAACTTTTGTGAAAACTAAAAGTCACACCTCCATAAACCATATACTTAAAATGTTCGTAATCATGAGAAACCTTGCGCAAAACTCAAAACTATATTATTATTTTATAAATTGCTGTTTAAGGTTGTAATTAATTTCTAAAGGGAACTTTCCACCATTTACCTAATGTTAAAAATACCTCAGCTGTACTTATTTGTTTGTTATTCTTTCAATTTATTAACTTATTAAAATCAGATGTGATTATTTGTTTGTTCTGTTTTGTGTAGTTCAGCTTAACTTAACCAGTTAATAGTTTTACCTTAGACTATCGTTTTACTAATACTTATGAATTCAAACGGGTTGAAGCCCATGGGTAACAGCTAGTTCAAATAAGATTCATTTAGATGTATGGCAAGTACTAAATTTTGAGCTTATGTTAAAAATTTAAAAAAATCTGTTATGTTAAATTTCCTTAGTCTGTTTATTTATTAAAACCTAAACTGTATGTCCATAAAAAAAGAAAGATTTTGAGTAGATTTAAATAAAAAAAATAAGTACAACACTAGAAAAAAGAACATATACAGCTATTCGATACAGGACAACAAAATTTGAAAAATGTCCTGTTTATGCAGTCCTAATGAAGTACAACCATTGCCGAATATATTTTAAGAGATGGCAGTAAATGTTTTAAAGTTAAAATTGATGAAATTCTACTGGATAAATTTACTATTCAATTTCATACTTTTAAGCAGAACCCTCCTTTGGTTATATAATTGCACATTGTTGTTGTTGTATTTGTCTCTGTTTTGTGTTTGAATGTTTTTTTTTCTAACTGTCTTAGTAGACTGAGAAGTTATTTATTGTAAGAGTATTTATTTAATAATAGATTAGGATTGTAATTAATAATTAACAGATGAGACAATGTAATTATTTAATCAGTTACTGCTAAGCATTTCATGTAACGTTTATCTTTGTGTCAATTGTGATTTGATTTTTTGGGTTTAGCTATACCTATTGAAACATTTGTATTCTAATACAAAAAATCACTGAAAACATACTACTATAACCCAGAATGCTAACCGCATGGTAAAAAGCGTTAAGTACTCGGAGAGAGCTTTGCCTGTCAATTCGTAGGTGACGCTGTTTCTGTGAAATAATGTAGGAAAGAGAGATTGGATTGTTGCTATTTAACTATTCAATGTTAATATCAATCTTTGAATTAATTCGCCATTTTTGGTAGATTTTGACATACACAACAAATTTTACGTATAATAACATTTTCTAGAGAAGTACTACATGTCAAAACAATTTATTATGGTTCTAAATCTTCCTTTGACTTCCACATGAACTATATAGTTTTCTTTTTTCAAACATAAATTAGAACGGTCTTAAGCTTGATTGTTTCTAATTTGTAATGTTTGTTTAACTTTTTTTAGATAAATTTATAGTACTTGTTAATGCTTACCATTGTAGACAAAGGTATCAGGAATTCCGACATCTCTTCTGATGGATTCCAAAGCTCGACGGATGGCGAACAAAACCGAGTGAGACATAACAAGAGGAGCCTCTCCAACAGCTGTTTAATAATGGCACAATATATAAAATCTATTTATTAGAATTCATCAAAATTTTTCTATTAGAAGATAATAGTTATATTATACAGTGTTTAGATAGCTGTACATCTAGTACTTAACCTAACAAGAAGGTCTCTGATTCAATTATCAATTTTATATCCCACTATTTAAGACATTTGATTTTTAAGACACCAGATGCCACTATGTGCATATTTTAACCCAAATATGAGTGAACGATAAGTTTAGGATGAGTGGCGCGATCTTGTAGTCTTGTTGTTAGTATGACTAAGGCCGACATGTTCTTACATATGGTGCTTACAGTTGAAAGAAATCGGACATTTTAAAAGTGACTTGGTTATTTAGGTGAACAATCTCTAGAAAAATGTATGAATCACTGAGTGAAACTTTATTAACACAGTTGAAATTCCAGATTAGTAAAATGTTTACTTTCAAATCTCAAAAATACTTTTTCAAATTTCTGGATTTCTTCTAACTCGCTTAATAATATATTAAATAACAACCTTTCAAAACTCACTTTTACTGGAACAATTTCTTCAAATATTCTTTTTTCTCCTTCACTGTTCCCTATATGAGATTATTGTATAGTTCGGGCGGTTAGAAAGCGACCTCCTCTAACATTGGTTTAGCATTGGTCACTTTCTAAGCGGCCGAACTATAGCATTATTTGCTCATTTTTAATCAGGCCCAAGTTTTTGGAAAATATTTCTTCTAAATTATTATAAGGGCCATCCATAAGGTTGGCGGCGCCCGGAGCAAACGTGGTTGTGGCGCCCCCTCCCCCCCAGTAATAATAGTCACATTTGCATATTTTAATACTATGTTAATACAAATAGCCGCTGCGCGGCGCCCCCTTAGCCACAGCGCCCGGGGCAGGTTGCCCCCCCCCCTTTGGACGGCCCTGATTATTATTCATCATCCGTTAAGTGATATTGGTATTCTGATAGGCATTATCAACTACAGATACTGTTTTTAATGTATGTTTTAAATATGAAATAAGTTTATAAATTCTTTTACTTACACTTAGATCCATATACACCAGTTGGAGGAGTGTTAGGGTCTTTTCTGAAATAAAGTCGCCAATCTTCTGGAATGTCCTTGGCCCCGGGTATTTTGTATTCCTGAACAATAAATACTGTAAAAGCGCTTTAGAAAGAGTAGTAACCAAAATATCGTGGACTACACTGGAAATATTCAAAAGCGATATATAGATAAACAGTACAAAGCTAGTACTTTTAGAGGCAAATGTACTTCAAGATCCCTACAATAACGCAGCACTGATTTTTACCCAGGTTCTATCTGTAGCAAGTAGTCCAGTATTTGGGTCAAAAATGAGTTTTTCACTTGTGAAGTGTCCAATTCCCATCAAGAACGCTCCTTCAATCTGGCCTATATCCACCAGTGGACTCACGCTCTTGCCTAGGTTTTGTAGTATGTCTACCCGAAGGATCTGGAAGTTCAAATTGAAGTGTTACAATTTAGATAAGATTTTATACTACTGTATAAACAAATATTGTACGGTACAGTTTCAAATCATTCAATGTTTATCATTATAGTAGATCATGACAACAATTAAAGGGGTGAGCTGGATGCGCATGGACTTAAGAAACCTCTTCCTCTCCCACTGGTTGCTTTGGTTATTTTGTACAGTCATCCCAACAATCAAATCGTCATTTGATTAATTTAATGGTCGCCATTTAAGATAAAAGTAATTAGTAACACCTAGCATCTAGTGGTGAGACCATCAGTCCTGTTGGGAGCCACTCTCTACACAACGTCCATTATTGACATGATTTAAAACTTATGCTAATTTAAAACCCCCTGCTGTAGCAAAACTGCAGACTAAGCAAATTTCCATTTAGCTGGCTAGGTTTCCACTAAAATATTACCTTAAAATAGTCAGATTTATTTCCTATTCAAACAAAATAATTTTAATGAGTACTTTAGGTTTTCGGCTACAGGGAAGGTATAATGAGTTTTTTTGTTATTGAAATGTTGGTATCTTAGTAGTAAAGAAAATTGCTAAATTTTATTAAAATACATAAACAAGCTAACTGCAACAGTTTATTTAAGCTCCAAAAGAATAACTTGGGGATTTTTAAAAATTTTCTCCGTAACCATTAGGCATACAATATTATGCTTCAGTTCACTAAATCATTATTTTTTTTTAGCTCTACAAAATGGTAGAAAGAAATGTTAATTTTATTTTTATTTTTAAACCCAAAAACCCCCACAGGGGATTCACATAGTCCGAACTGGTTTGTGAACTCGTTTGAATAATCGTAGGTTTACATGATTGTACGGTACCAAATTTCAACAATATCACATAGTTTTCACTTCAGTTATCTTGCATGGACATATAATATATGAATCTGAACGGAGGGTATGTTTGGCCTCTGGGGACCTCAAAACGATTAAAGTAAATCGGTCCTGGGTCCATGTCTTAACATAAAATCTATGGTAATAGCTAATTCCCTATATAAGAAATTCACTAACAAAGGTCAAGTTTCTATAAAAGTCTACATTTTTTATAATATTGTGGGAATCATCTTTTTAAATCTGAAGATTAAATTGATAATTTGAATAAACAATTTCTTTTAATATTTACTGTATGGTTTTATTTCTGAAAACCACATAACTACTGGTGTCATTACTTAACTATTACTTACACCCTTGATAAAACCAATAATTACAGTATCACAAGGCTTTTAAAATTCTGTACTTTCGACAATGTATTCATTGGGAATACTGTAATTTTAACCTACCCTATGCTCTCCTGTTAAACAGTCTATTTCCACTTCTGTTATGGTGGTCCCGTAGTTTAGGTAGTCTTTCAGGTCTCGTTCCGGTACAAACCTGAAATCAATATAAAATATGTTGACAAAATGTTACTTTAATAATAGTGCGGTACTCAAAAGTCACTTGACAAAAAAGTGTAAATTGTTGATCAATTTAAACCTACACGGGTCTATTATCCAAATTTCCGTTACTGCTTAACATAGTGTGTTAAAGTTAGATGCAACCTAGTATTATTGGTGCTTAATTTTTAGAAATTGAAGTATCAGAAAAATTATCTATCGAAAATTAATTAAAATTTAATTAATTTTTTTAATTTTTTAATTTTTTAAATTTTTCGAATTTTAATTAATTAAATTAATTAAAAGTGCTCTAAAAAAAGTATAAAAAATAATGTGTAAAATGTTTTACTTGGAAATCATTAATCCACAAGAATGTCAAAATGATATCCTTGAATATTCTGGGAAATTTTCAAGAAAATATTGCTAGAATGCAGAGATAGTTTTTAATTAAACTATGCATTTAATTGCATTTTTAAAGGGACCTGGTTTAGCTTCCCTATGATTGTAAGTACCATGTAACGACTAACTATACCACATGAATCAAATAATAACATGTTGCTAATATCATGTGTGGTTCACATGGGCTAGTAAATGGACTGTTAACAAATATTTACCCTATTCATATCACAAAAGTGACCTCATAAGCCTGTAAAGGAAAGCATGGAGAAATACATTCAATCAAATAAACGTCTATTACCCACAGTGGCGGTTATAGAATATTCTTTTGAAGGGGGCCGATATTAATTTAAGGTTAGGTTAAGTAATTTCAAATAGACTTGCCATGATAATTTATCTCAGTTTTGCTGCGCTAATTTGCACTAAATGTGACCTTTTACTTTACCAAGATCATGCTGTCTCATTAAATTGGTCCGTTAAATTTGAAAAATGTATCTATTCAAGCCAAATGAAGAAAATATCTCAATTACTAAATCAAAAAACATTGATCAAGATTTAACAGTGTGTCATTCCATCTGTAAACACTTATCCAAACCTAAGGAGTCAAATACGCCATTATGATATTCAATTTGGAGGAGTTCTAACTACTGTATAAGTATTCTTTTGTGCAAACTGCAAAACGTTAACATTTCAGTACAACGTCGAAAAGATTTAAATAATAAACAATAAAAATGGCTACCACTGAACTGACTGAACTCTTCATTACTCCGGGTGGCGGGCGGGAGCTCGAGTTGGTCTGAATCAACCCAAACTAGCACAAACTATCACTGTCTGCTACAGCGATGAATTCACACATGATTCATGATAAATAATTTATGTTATGTTACCTATTTTTCTTCATATCCATTATTTTTTTCATATCCCTCCTGATTATATACGTCTCTGAACCCAAATTAAAAGAAAAGTGCTAGTAACATCTACTTTATTAACTTCGGATCTCTTTCCATTTTCTGCACTACACTTAGAAAATGACACTTCATTAGTTGATGGATGTTAGTAGGGTATATTGGCGTACCGGTATTTTATTGCACTATTGCACTTAGCTTTTGTAAAATAAAATAAACACTCACATGAAAGATGCACTTAAGTTGACACCCCTGAGATAGGCAGTTTGAATAAGAAGAGGCCAAGCTACATCTGGTCCTAATGATTGCCTCACAGCTTCCAGTCTTTCATTTAGCTCTTCACAACATTTCCTCACAGCCTTAAAAAGTGACAACCGTAAGACTTGGTGCCAAAACATACCGATGGCCAACCATCTACAGAAACATAGGGCCAACCATTTGCCAACGATTTTCTACTTGGATTGGATAGTCCTGAAAATAAGTGTTTACCGGACGAGTGTGGTCGTTCCCGTGCGAGACGAAGTCGAGAATGGGATTACCATACAAGTCCACTAAACACATTTTGGACGAGTGGTGTACGATAGTTTATGCCATACTACTAAATCTGTACAAATCCTTATATATTACCTACCACCAAACTAACTAAAGGACTAACAATCACTAGTTATAACCTCTAGAGAGAGGTTATGTTTTTGTTTATAACCACTCATCCCCAAATACAGTATAATAATCAGCTGATTGGTTTCCGGTAAAACTCACTACAGTACAGTAGTACGTAATGAAACCCCATTTGATTAAGCTGGCGGCAAACAGCTGTTTCTGGACTAAATCCTTGTGTGGGAAGTTCTTCAAAATAGTGTAGTGTGTGGCGTAAAAGCTTTTACATTGAACGAACTGTAAACTTTTGTTTAACCCTCGAGGAGGCGCTTTACCAGTAAAACAATAGCAGCCGCATGCAGAGTTTTATCCCGCAACACTAAAATAGCATAAATTTTACCCATTTTACTCGTTGTCATAACGAAATATAGTATGTAAATGTTGAATAACCTAATTTCTTTGTTAATAACATTATTTATTATTTGTTTAGCTTAATAAGATTAATATTTCAAATGAAACATATTTAACAATTTTCTAGTACCATAAATGTATCACTGTGGGTGTTATGAGAGAGGGCGCGTGCAGAGTTTTGTTCCGCAATAATGCAATTATACATACATGCAATTATAAATTAAACAATACATTTAAACATGTTTATATTTTGTATGTAAAAAAAAACACACAGTTTGACAAGAGCGCATGCGAAAATAAATTCTGCGCTAAGGACTTACGTGATAGGGCACACACGGAGAAATCCTCCATAAACTGACACCGCGTCACTGAATTGCAACTGACAACAAAATAAGGAGGAATTTGGGGGTAAAATAAGCTTAGGGGCATTCCGGGGATGAGGTGCGTGAAGTATGGAGCACGTATTTTGCATAATTCTATTAACAAAAAGTACAAGTGCGGAGGAAAACTCTGTAAGCGCCGCTCGAGGGTTAGCGTTTCAAAAACCATATATTATCTGCATGGAGAACAGAGAACTGGAAAGATCAAATACTGCACAACACTTGTTACAAAATAGCCACTCATTGGGGAATATGGAAGACAATCAATGTATTTTAAAGAATTATAAGAAAGGAAATGTATGATGATTGCTTGTGAAGAATAGTATTTGTAATGGAAAATACAAAAATAGAAATAAAGCTATTTGATGAAAACAAGTAGCGTAAATCTTAACTTCAGTTGAGCTCGTAAAAACTTCTTGTCTGTTACTTGCGGTAACCAATAGTACCTGTAATAAAGTAGGGACGCCATCGAGGTTCTTGTAATTTGCTTATTGGGTCTGATGATGATTGGATTGTCCAATCAAAATTGATTACCACGTTTACCATCTTTTAAATATATATTTACCGTCTTGTTAGTTAACAGTTTAGTATAAATATATGTTTTAAAATGTTATTAGACATATTTTTGATTTACTATCCATAAAAATTAATAACACAATGCTGATCAAGAAATTATAAGCTACTAACAATTAATTGTCAATTACTCACAAAACAGACACTATCACTGCCGGTGCTAGATGCTGTATAAATGCTGTCAGGAGACACTAGGTTGTTGTTGGGCTTTATTTTGACATACTCCAGTGGTACCCCTAGAACATGGGCAGCTACTTGTGCTGCCTACAATCAACAGCTAAATATTTTTTTTATGTTACAAACATTTTTAGTCGTGTAATCATTAGGCTAGGAGTATTTGTTCTACATCCACTTTGATTTTAATTCTAAAACTAACAAAATATCTGTTTGAAAAAACCTTAGATCATGTCATATCTTTGATTAGACCTCTGTATAATCTTAATACAACTAGCTTGATAAGCCCTTCTAATTTTTGAATCATAAACAACTTGGACTTTAGACTTTTCAAACTTCAAATTAAAGGTATAGAACTCTTTAGCAATTATTAATAAAAAAAATTATTCATTACCTTGGTGTTGATTCCTTGTCCCATTTCAACACCAGCATGACTAATGACGACTCTGCCGTTGTTGCGGTAGATGCTTACTAGTGCGTGATATCTTCCTTTAAAGTTAACGTAAAATTTCATCGGGAGTAAGGACAACCCTCGCTTTTTCCATTGATTGGTCTAAAACAAAACATAAGTAGTGTTTAAGAAAATAAAACAATCATGAGGAGAGTGAAAATATTTATTTAAATTTAATTGACAGTTTATTAGTTGTTTTCTAGTAATAGTGCAATAACATAAATAAACAGGGTAGGGATGCTAATTTAGCGGTTTTGACAAAGAACTAAGCTTCAACACACCTTTATTTGCCTTTTCATATTTGACGAAGGCAATTTCCAAAATTCCAATCAGGGAAACCTTTTTTTATCACCATTAACCACAAGACCAAAGCTACCTTAATAAACCAGTATTTATTCACGAACAATTATATATTTGGTGCCTTTAGCGGAGTTAAACGTATGGAGTGATTCAAATTATTTATCAAAAATAAAATCAACGACTCAAACAAAGACCAACAACAAACTGTTTTTACACAAAAGATATGGTGTACAGGGATATCTATTCTGACACATAGATAATATATTTCTGAGTTTGTATAAAGAATATTTTTTTTACTTTATTGAGCTTTTTAAGGACTTTGTCCCTATACAAGCCACTAGAAGTTATTAAAAAACATTTAGTCTACCTTGTTAAACTCCCTGCATTGAGCCAGTCTAGAGGTGTATTCAGCCTTAGATTTGGCCTCAGCAACATACTCAGCTATGGGACTACCATCTTCAGCATTGCTTAGTCTGACTGCAGTAGGGTCTCTCTTGATAGTCCAAGCAATGTGTTCCATAATATGTTCTACTAACCCTTGAGTGTCTAGAGTACCTGGAACAACAAACAAAGCATTGAAGGGATTTTAATAACAAGCTGTATATTTACAATAATTGAAGAGGATATGGAGAATTATATGTACCAGTAATTAAGTACATTGCGTATTGCAAGTGAAAACCCAAACAAAAAGATGCACAGTAGCAAAAGATGCCAGTGCCCGGACAGACGGCACAACACCTGGCAGGCTCTGTTTGAACACATTTTTCAAGCGATGGGAAGGATGATATCCATTCGTAATATCGAAATCTTGTCATCTCGAAATTCTATCGACCACTGAATGGACTTAGTTTCAATTGTTCTTTCATTTCTTTCTTACTAGTTTCAGCTGTGCAATAGACAATCGAGTGGTCATTACGATCACAATCACAATTCTTTATAGTTTATACATGAAGAGAGATTATGGATCCAAACCTGATCAATTATTATTTTGATATAAAAAGGTCTTTTTGTAGAAGGTCAGTTTAATAAGCAACCACGAAAATAAACAAAGAATTGAATACATTATAGCTGAAATAGTGGTTAGAGCCTAGGACTTCAGTTGTGAGGGTACAGGATCAAACCTTGCTATGACTCACCTGGAGCCCGAGCAAATGTTGTCGGTGACTTGTCCGTCAACACATCGTATGCGTCAACAGTCCATGTTGAAACATCGTAGAAACAAGGAAGTGCTTTTATGCTAGTAGTTCCAGTATTTGAATCATTGAAAGATGCTCCTTTGTCAATGTAATAGTTTGCCTTCAAATACTGTATTACTCCTTCACCGTTGACTCCAACCTACAAAAATAATCTTAAGAATGATTCGGTGTAGGAGTACATGTTAATTGTTACTTAACTTAAAATTTGTATGATAAAAGATAATTACCGTATATCTTCAATTTTTCAAACAGTGTAAAGAATAGTTATTTGTGTAACTAGTGAGCAAAGTGGCACTTTGCTGCACACGAGAGCAACATTTAGAATGATCTCGAGTGCAGCAAAGGCTTTTTGCACTTGTGTTACACATTATATTTTTCCTACAGTCACTATAAAGCATTAGTCTTTCATCACTATACAACATGTTTTTAGGTTCAGCTGGCAACACAAATAGGTGCCCTAGAGAAAGTAGTCCCTAGTCCGTATCACTCCGCTATTTTTTCCTCGGCAATCAATGTGCTCCGCGACTTGAGAAAATAGTTCCGTATGTTTGTAATTTGCAGTGGTTTCCGTGCCTAAAAAAATTCTTTAAAGGTATTTTCTTGTTTATTAAGATTGTAGGAATGTTTTAAAAACGTTTAAAAGAAAAGTCCAGAAAGTTCAGAAATACCGAAAAGAGAACATAAACTATAAACACGAAATGACCGGTTAAATTGTAGTTATAATAGTCAATTAGCTGCTCATAGTTTTATTATCTTTAAGTGCTGCCAACCTATTTCCAAGCGTACACGGATTACGTGTATAATAGAACCACGCTGTTTTGTGTTGTTTCGTTGGAATCCTGATGTGCGCCAAAGTATAAACCATACGACAAAGTATAAACCGTACGACAAAGTATAAATATGCAGCAATTAGAAGCTTTCTGTACTATAAACAGTACAAGGAAGCCAACTTTGTCGGGTGATTGTAGGAAAAAATTTTGTTTAGGGTTTGAAAATTTGAAAGTTACAGTTGACTTGAATGAGTTAAACTTGAATGTCATACAGCTGAGTTAGAAATAAATCATCGTAAACTACAAAGCTATGATGCACAGGCCTTGCATTAGCACTATCTCACTTTATGGTCACCATTTCAATAAAAATTATTAAAGTATATTAAGTTTAAGTTTATTTAATTTAGATTTGGACTCTCACAACATGTGTACTAAATTGGTTAGGATTAATGATAGTTACCTGTACTTCACTGCTTCCTAATTTGTTAGTAGTTTGTAAGTGTAAAATATTTCATTACACACATATCCAAACCACCTTGTAAATAATGATGTACTAAAAAGTAAAAAAAAAAAAAAACTTTAAAACAAAACACTAAATCAACAACGCATTTGTATTTAGCCTTTGAGAATACCTCATATTTGGAGTACATTAGGAATCTGCCAATGCAACTTCTCATGTTATACTCCAAATTCATCACCATTCTGACAGGTTGTTGAAGAAGATAAGCGGACAATGCTGTGGCGCAAGCTACATAGTTACTTCTATTCATCTTCCCACCATACGCTCCTCCGCACCTCATAATCTGCACATTTATCCTGAAACCATTTTGACCATGTTAAAAACATTATTAGTCACATTTCGTAACAGTTCAAGAGATTTTACCGAACAATCAGGAGATGGTAAATATTAAATAGCTGGGTGCACATAATGGTCGCCTACCAATCAAAAAGTTGCCAGGTCCATCTTGAGAAAAGTCATGTTAGCTTTGATGGTTTAATCATGGGACCTTTAATAAATAGGCCATGGTAAAGAACCAGATGATCTTGATCAGAACGCAATAATCTCAATTATTTAACACTCGTCTTTCTCTTAACAAACCCTATGTGTTGTATTTGTAGAAATCTAATCTAATATTATTTACAAAATGTTTATCCTGGTAAGAAATTGTCTACTTTGACTTGTCTAGTTTCCAAAATCAATGGTTGGATCACATTGATCATGAAACATGTTAAGTTTTGTTATTAATAACAACTTATTATATTGTTATTAATTCATTCACAATGTTGTAACTGTTGAAATTTCACTCAAACTGTTCACCACCAGCACCAAATTTCTTACTCATTTATTAATGTTTTCTATTGTATTTATCTTGTTGCATGTAAGTCTTGTCTAATGTATTATTTTGTAAAATGGCGATTGCCGTCAAAATGAATAAATAAATAAGTGTAGGACTCCGAAATAACAAAAAAATTAAAACCTTTTAGTAAAACATATTATTATCAATCATAAATGCATCTCTACCTGTTCACTGACATGTTCAGGAGAGCAGAGATAGCCTCATGTATTCCTTGCATCCATTGTGAGGAAACCATCACATCCAGGACCAAGTTATCTCTTGGTCGGACTACGCAGGTGTGCGTCTCGTAATATGAGTGGTACTGACCGTTGAAAGTGTATTCTCCTTCAATTTTGTGTTCAACATCCTCTGCAATAATGCAAACCATTCAAGAATAAGTTATAGTCTAGTGATACATGTTCTCAATACTTCAAAACATATCTGAATCTTAGACAAATTGAGCTGTCTAAAACTTTTAAAAGCTTAGTTTATTGATTTATTATTTTTATTTTTAAAACGACATGGTTTAAAGTGAGGTCATTAAAACGGGTAGATAATATTTTTGGGCATCACTCACCTTGTTGAAATAAGGAGAACGCAGTCTTTCTCACTACACGTCCATTTCACATACAGAGACAAATAAAACATATAAAAATAGAAACTTAAGTCTGTTATTCTATTTTGTTATTTTTAAGGTATGTTTGTGGGTGAAAAGGATGTGTAGTGGCAAAGATTGTGTTCTCCTTATTTCAACAACGTGAGTAATGCCCAAAAATAGTATCTAACTGGATTATCAAGTTAAGTTGTGAATTTTTCGTCTTCATTCAGCTGCCTTCAAAACCCTTTCAAAACTAAAGTGTTACTTTATCAACTTAGTTTTTTTTTGTTTTTCGGAGGAGCTAGACCGTAGGCGTCCATGTATAAAAATGTATTAAAATGGTTGGAATACTCACTTTTTTCTACAGTTGGTCGAATTGACGCTCTATATTTTATTCGCTCAGTTTCTTCTGACTCCAACACTTCTTTGACGTAAAGTAAAGGTTTCTTGATATATTTATAAGTTATTTTCACCCTCTCGGCTGCAAAGTTCGCCAATTCTTGAGATGTAGCTACCAACACTCCAACAGGCTGACCCGCATATTTAATCTCATCACTGGCAAATAACTAAAAAATTAAAACAGCAATCTCTAGTAAAAGTTGCTATAGCCAAAGCACTCTTTATTGATTCATTGTTACGCAATGATTTTTCATAATTTTATGACTTGAAATTAGTTTTTAATAATTGTTGCTTCATAATTCAAGTCCACTAAAATGAATGATTGTATTTTTAATTACTAGTAATGATAGTGATTGTATGCTTAGAAAAATGTTACTTCTGCTTTTATCCACACAATATTTTATTTCAAAATGAATATGCAAATTGTAATTTTATGGAAAGTGTTTGAAATTTAGTTTGAAACATTATATTAGTGTTGAATAAAGAGTACATGCTTACATACAGTCTATGCTATTAGTTAAATAATTTTCAGATTATCTTTACTAACTTCTTCTATCTGCTGAAAGATATTTGTTGTTGGACTCAAAATAGTATTTAACCCTGGTATATCTTTGGCACTGAAGAAAGCCTCTACACCAGGAATTTGCTGAAACAAAAAAAAATGTTGTCACTTAAAATAACAACATGGTAATTAAATTGAGCAATATGTATCATTGTAAAGTTAAATTTTTAGTACTATACTTGTGAGAACAGGGAATAGCCATAGAGAATACAAGTCCCAGCCATATTGCAATTATTCTTTCACATTGCTCTTTGTTGACCAGGTGGGAAAAACAAAAGCAGAAAACATGGTTTTGACTTCAACAATTAAGCGAAGTGACTGGAGAAACCACATCTATAGTTTCAAGTACAGTACCCCGACAAACATTGCACGACCCGATACGCTACTGGTTATCCACGACGATATCCACCGTAGGCAGTCAAACGTCAACGACGACACTACCACGATGACGATCTCCCAAATACCTTCGAAAATGGAGAGCCTCCCGAGATCGCCGATAGACGACCCACGCATTGGCTGGATTCATATTCTGAACAAACAGTACCTGATTGCTGAGATGACAAAATATCAGCTAGGGAACGAGGGTAGCGTCGCCGAGCTTCGCAAATGCTTTTGAGATTATTGGAAGCACCCGTCAGTCGATGAACCCGATGGTGATTACGGTATCGGGGACTACTGCCTCTACAGCCTATTCAATTCAATTCAATTCAATTCAAAACATCTTTATTCATTAGTATATATTGTATATACAAGAATGGTGTCAAATTCATCGTTACATAAAATATGAACACAAATAAAAGACAAATACAATACACAAGAACAAAAACAACAAAACAATACAGTCCTCTCTCAAGTAGGTATAAAACAAAAGTATACTACAGTGAAAACAAAAAACAAAAATATAGTTCAGTGAAACAGCAATAGGCCTAAAACATTTTAAGTCAATGCTGTTATTGCTTAGCCCAGAAATCTTTGAATTTATAGAGAGCATTTTGTGTCAAATGTAATTTTAGAGCGTTTTTAAATCTGTTGTCATCTGTTTCATTTTTTATTTTTATTGGTAATTGATTAAAAAATTGTATTCCAATGTATGATGGTTTTTGTTTAAATATTTCTTTTTTATGCTTATTAATTTGGAAATTATATCGGTTTCTTGTGTTGTAATTATGATTATCGACGTTTCTAGTAAATGTTGAAATATTACGTTTAACATGAAGAACAGTCTTGTAAATATAAAGGCTATAAACTGTCATGATACCCAATCCAATAAAATGTTTTTTACAGTGTGCATCAAAATCCAATTTAAGCATTGATCTTATTGCATCTTTTTGAAGATGTAAAATCTTTTTGAGGTTAAAATTTGATGTTGCTCCATATACTTCAAGACCATACCCAATATGGGTATGGACCATTGAAAAATACATTGATTGCAATGTTTTGATGTCACAAAAAGAGGACAATCTCTTCAGAGCAAAGACTCCTGAACTAACTTTTGAACAGACCTCATTTACATGTTCTGACCAAGACAGTTTTCTATCCAGTAAAATACCAAGGAACTTTGACTTTTCAGCAAGGTCAACAGTATTAAGGCAGTCTGTTAGTTCTGTGTCATTCCTTGAATTACCATTTTTACAAGAGAATTTAATTATTGTTGTTTTATTTTTATTAGTTAAAAGGTTCAAGTTATTTAGTCTTTCGTTAACTTTGTTTGTTGCTAGGGATAATTGATCAAAAACATTACTTCTATTGCTACTAGCTATCGTTAGATTAATATCATCTGCAAAAATACAAAATTTATTATTTAATGTTAGGTTTGAAAGACATTCTGGTAACTTTCCTAAATACACAAGGAATAGGAATGGTCCCAGGACTGATCCCTGGGGAACGGAATATTTAATTAATCTAGTTTTTGACTTTATTTTAAATAATCTATTGCCATTGAGGTGTTTAGTTTCCACATATTGCCTTCGACCTATTAGGTATGATTTTAATAAAGCTAAATCTTTGCCAATTATACCATTAGAAGTTAGTTTTTCTAGTAAAATAGAATGGGATACACTGTCAAACGCTTTAGTCAGATCTAGAAATGCAGAAACAGTATGGTCACCTTTGTCTAATTTATCCACAATATGTTCAACAAAAGCTATGACTGCAGTAATAGTTGATTTATTTTGTCTAAAACCATGCTGTTCCGAATCTAATAAGCTATTTTTTTCAAAATAATCAGTTACGATACGCAAATTTGACCACAGCGGCTGGAACCTTTTTCCATGCACCAGGAGATGGCCAGCGTTCGAGAAATACTTGGACTCCTGCCGAACGCCGATTCGGAGTCTGTTCGACAAACTCTCGTGATGCTGGTGAAGCATCCGGCTAACATGCCGTCACCTAAGCAGGATATTACGTTGCGTCCAACCCCTTTTAGACCACCTGCGGAACACGACTATCGCGCTACGTTTGATAGATCTGACGAACGTCCAACAGCTTAACAATGCCCTACGAAACGATCCTGCCTCAACCGTATGCCTTCCCGTCACAAACCCAGAAGTCATGTTATGATTTCGGCAACCGGACAAACCAGTGGTCACAACCCAACCAGGACCCGTGGATGTCGCGATTCCAATCCGGCTTCTCAACCTCACGTCCAGGCAACCCCAACCCATGGGGTGGGACAAGAGTGGGAGACGACACTCTGTTGTTGTGCAATCGGGCTCACAAGTGGAACCTGCGATTTGACGGCAAGAAAGATCCGGTCTCGTTTCTGGAACGTCTGGAGCAGTTGGCGGAGGCCTACTCAATCGATTTTGACGAAGAGAAAAAATCATTACCAGAACTTCTTCACAGCCCAGCATTACTTTGGTACCGGAACTGTCGCGGTATCTGGCGGGCGTATCTAAGACTTCAATCGTCAGTTTTAAAGACCAATTTCTCCCTCCGTTGTATCGATAAGACCTAGACAAGTGAGGAGATCGTTAGCCAATTCGGGACTGGTTTCACCCAATATTCTTTTTAACTAATGACCTTTAAAATTATGTGCTACTTGATAAGGGTTGCTATTGAAACAATTTAAGTTACCCCTGGCAAACCCTATTTGGGGGTGGTGGAGGTTGAATTTTAAAGTACCCTTAAACAGTACTTTACATTACCCTAGTAACGTGTATCGAAGCTCGTTTGAATATATGCAGCCGTTTAAAAATTAACCAGGAGGGGGTCTATTGTGGGACACCCGGTATATGTGTCCGTAAACGCAATAACTTGAGTAATTTTTGTCCGATTTTGGTGAAATTCGGCTTGAAGGTGTAAGGCAGAATAAACTTGAATGAGTTCGCAAGCCAGCATGATCGGACCATGGGAACGGAGTTTTAGGGGAGTCTTATGGGGTAAAAATGAATTTTTCTCAATTTTGATCCTAAAATAAAAAGAATTTCCAATTTCTCTCTAGACTTGTTTAATGAGCTTAAAAAAATGATTTAGTATATCAAATTTTGTACGGGTTTATTTTGGGTTTTTGTACGGTTATAGGTGACGACGGATAAAATTTTAAAAATTGTAAATTTAAAATTCCCATGTTATTCTAATGGAGAATATTATAAAATGTTGTAGTTTGCTTGTTTATGGATGCATTTTGATCAAACTTGGTAAATTTATTTATTTTATACAATGCTATTAATCTTTTGAACGACAGGTGACAATAAGCATACATGAATTAAGCAGTTTAAAACATTATATACTAGGCTATTTGATGACGAATCTCAACAATCATATACTCTGTTTTTTTCCTTTCATTTTATTAGAGCAGTATTTTATGTTTCAGCATTCATGATACTTTTTATCTCAAAGATTTATTATTTAACTGTTTACTGTATAAGGAAATTCTTGGTTTAACTCTAAAAACTGTATGTTAGAATATATCTGTATGTTTGTATGTGTGTATGTATGTATTTACAGTATAGCCTAGTATGATGTGTAGGTATGTGTATTAGTATGTGTAGGCAATAGATTAGAATCCTTGGTGCAGTTCAAAAAATTGGAATGAATGTAAATTAGTTTAAATTTTATTTTAGCTTTTAAGTGAGTGCTTTTATGTTTATTATTTTTTATATCAGTGCAGTGTTGATTTTATTTAGATAGTGGAAGTGGACTTTGCCAACCAGACAGACGGTCAAATGACTATTGTCTTTTGTGCATAAAAATAATACAATCTGTAAATTTGTAAACGATTCAGAAAAATAAAGCACTGTTATCTATCTATCTATCTATCTATCAATGCTATTAATATTTTACTAAAAAACACTTCATTAGTTTCCCCTGTAGCAGCAAACCTAGGTACTCGTTAAACCTAATGCAATTTTATAAATAGATTTAATTAAAAATCATTTTAGGCAGATGGAAATTCGCTTAGTTATAGGTTCGCTGCGGCGGGAGTAATTAACATACATTTATACGTTTTTTTTTTTGTTTACTGGAATACCTTTAAAGAAAATGCAACATCGCCAACAACAGATAATAATTACTATGATTTACCAGAGCATCGTTGGGATTTATTCCGTCAAGTGTTGCTGGACCAAGTTCTGTCAGAACCAAAGCAGCAAACAGTTCATCCTTCAGAGGCAGAAGATCACCGGAGTACTGTATCTCTCCTGGAAGAAGATTTCACCCTTCTCAATCACATCACCTTAAGAAACCTTAAGAAACATCTAGTATACTCGTTGAAAGGTATTATGTGGACACCAGACTATACTATTAAAGCAGCTGAGTTGATCGTTGGAATTCAATTACAAACCATATAACACATGTTTATGTTTCTCATAATTTTTAATACAAAAAATAAAATTGATATCTTACATTTTGGGTTGGGGATACAGACCCCCGGACGCCCCCTCTGGCTATGCCACTGCTCACTTATACTAATCACTGAAACTAATAACAACAGTTTTTTTTGTAAGCTGAACCAAAAAAACTACCTATTTTCTCAAGCTTAAACCAGTAACCTCTCATCAGATGAGCACTACCACTCAGCTACTCAAATTTAAATCAAAACCATACCTGAACACTGGATAAGAGACTCAATCTTAGGTATAGGCTCAGTCAGAGGATATTCCACAGGCTCACTGTAATACTGCTGCACGCCATGACTCAACGGCCTCTCAATGTCCTCTCCTCCACTTCTAAGTCTTGGGTTGACTGCCGATGGGTTCAAGCTCAACACGTACTGCAAATTAAAGTTGTCTTACACCATGAAATCATAATTTACTATGGTATCTATTATGATGGGTAGGTTAACAAACTCCTCTCTGAGGAATCTATTTTTAAAGCCAATAAGCATCGGTCAGACATGTCATGCTGGGCTCAGGAGAAGAATATGGACTTCCTATTTGGCCTGCCTTCAAGCGGGTTTATGAATGGGTTCAAGTAAACTGTTCATCTTCACCTTTAACACCAGGGCCAACTACAGGGTGTTTTTTAAACACAACCCAAATTAAAAGAACTGCAAGATGGTGTTTAACGATAAGCCAAGCTTATTGATATCCCTGTTCTTCTTTATTTCATTGCATATCAGCCAATGCATTGTTGTTCAGTTATCCATGGCATTTAGTGTTATTGGGAATTTCTTATCAATAAGTCTCAACAAGGTGTTTTTGCAAGCTGAAATAGAGTACATAGGTCTACTTTTATACGTGACACTCCTTGAAAGTTAGTAAATGTTGTTTTTTATCTAGTTCTAGGCTATTTTTTCATGAACGATTTACACAACAGCATCGCAAGCCAGTAGCTGGGAACTAGAAAATAGCTTAGTCCTTAGTCACTCTCTATCATCTTACTCTGTAGAAGAGTGAAAGTGTGAGTCCTTTCCTGTATTCATTGGTTGCATCTGGGAGTATACGGGTAGGTCTCACCTCCTCATTCAGTCTGCGTAACGCTCCTTGCAGCGTTTTTGTATTCAGTAGTTTCTTGTTCTCCAGGAATGATTCTGTGCAGCTTGCATGGATCTGGAGAATTATAATTTTCTGCTAATATGTTAATTCATGTATCAAGAGATTTAGATTTTCTGACCGAGTTAGTTTAAATTGGTTGGATTATTATTGAAATAGTTAAAAAAAAAATAATAAAAAATCATACTAAAACACATAAAACTATTTAGTTACACATTTTTTATGTATTTTCAGTGAATTTTTAACCAAGCTAGTGCTTAATGGCTCGATTAAATATTGAGCATACATAAATAAATTTTAACTTACAAACTCTCCATCGATTCCACCATACACAATACTTGGCTTTTCTAAAACTCTGTAATCATCGGTTTTATCAAAACTGAAACAGAATCCTGCATTCACTATTGCATGGTCATTTTGAGCTCTTCTTTCTATCTGAAATCAAAGTTAATGATTCAACAATGATTGTTGCTATAATTAAAGTAAACTTAACTTTTCAGTAAATTTCTATCCAATATTAAAATAACCCCCTGCCGCAGCAAACCTGTCGACTAAGCGAATTTCCATTTGTCTGAATTGATTTTCAATTAATTCTATTTTAATAACATTATGTTTAATGAGTACCTAAGTTTGCTGCTACAAGGAAACTAATAAATTGATTTTTTTGTAAAATAATAATAGCTTTATTATAAAATAAATAAATTTGCCAGGTTTGATCCAAATATATACAAACAAGCAAACCACAACATTTTACAATATTATCCTTATCCATAAAAATAACATGGGAATTTTAAATTTACAATTATTTAAATTTTCTCCATTACCATAAACCGTACTTTTTAAGCTTTTTAAAATTGTCTAGAGAGAAATTGGGAAATTTTGTGAAACTTAGCAAAAATTATATATAATTTACCTTATAAGTTCTAACAATGTATGAATTGTTGAGTGGAAAAAATATTATTTTCGTTATTAGCCTTCTGTAGATTTCTGTGTACAGGTACTCTGGCAAAGAGATTGTCAATGTTGACCAATCCTCTTTAGCTAAAACATAAACAGAGTTTTATGGAATCACATTGCTACATTCTATACAAAATGTACTCAAAACTACCAACACAAAATTTACACTGTACACAAAACATTCACTGTCACTGAAACTCTTTCTTCCTCTCAGTTGAAAATTCTGCCAGTGCTGACAGTGAAATATTCTAATGTTTTTGTGTCGCTTTAGCCAGTTTGACTCTTTCCCATCCAGGTTAGCCTTCTATCCTCACAAAATTGTTTTTAAATAATTTGGATTTTTACTGTTATGAGATGAAAGAAAACCATGATAAACATTTTACTGAATCACTAAATCATGTTGACGATGTTGAAAACTACTATAGAATTTTGGGTTAGCTCTTTCAAATATATAAAAATTTTAAACCATTTAATGTGACTCACTATTTGAGTTGGTAGCGTTACGGTCTTCGGGCCCAGGCAGCGATGTCGTGGGTTTGGACCCTGGTCACTGCCACTAACAGTATTAACAGTTTACCTTCTTCGTACTGGATACGTTCCATGCACGGGCAAATACTCTATGTGAGTGGCAAAAAGCAGGTTGAAAGAGGCCGCAAACCTCTTTTGTAAAAATATAAAAATGATGTTGCACTAAATATTTCAAAAGTTACAATCAATCCACCATCATAAGCCCTGATAACAAAGTTTATAATATTGATAGCTAAGATTAGGAAAACATCTTACCAATGACCACTTTAGCGCCAACTGTCTCGAATATTGTGAACAAATCAGAGGGAAACCTACGACAGTCATGTTTGATGGACAAGTTACCCGCCAATGTTCCAACCTGTGTTATAAGAAATAGATATTTTTGTGTAATTAATAAAATAGAGAGTGACAAATTGTAAAGATAGTAATTACTTTCTAGCAATTACTATTAATTTTTTGACTTCAGAAACTCTTTGCCATAGTATCTTTGCCAGTACTCCAAACCTAAAAAGTCATTCTGTATATAAAAAAACAGCTTGAACCACCAGTGGTTATAGAATTGTACATATTTAGATTTTATATTCATAATCATTTAATGACATACAGTAGACTCCCTCTCATCCGGACTCCTCGGGACCGAGGCCAGTCCGGATAACAGTTTTTCCGGTTAAACCGACGTCCCCAAAAACTCGTTAAAACGGACCATTTACTGTGATATTCAACTTAAATTTAGGAGAGCATTGTATTTAGACACATGATTACTGGTCTCAAATCTTTCCCACAAGAACAGTCGTTTTAGTACTGTCCACTTCCTGCCCATCTAGTCCGGTTAAACCAATGTGCTGATAAAAATTTTCCAGTTAAAGAGATGTCATTTCCGCCGAGTGTAGTCCAGTTGAACCGATGTCCGGTTAAAAGGTAACCGGATAAGAGGGAGTCTACTGTAGTTGATTTGTTTTGCCAAACAATCAGATAGTTTTCCAAAAGTTTGTTTGAACTTTAATCGACTGTTATATATTGAAGTGTGTGTGCCTAGAGTAACTGTTACTATAGAAAGCAATCAGTAAAATAATTTCATAAGCTTGTTATATGTCATATATTATTTTATCACTCATTAGGTCACTACTAGTTTGAGCACGTAATCAGTACCATAACAGTACTACTTCACTATCTTTGGATTACTACATACTCTTTGGTGAATCTCAGAAAGCGTAAAAAATATTTTGAAAAAATACTTACATTTCGCACAGGAATGTGGGCTACTTTATCCAAATGTCTGGCCAATACCGAGAGATATTTAAACTCACTTGGTCTCTCAATAGCCACTGCTTTGAACAGTTTTATGGTGTCCGTGAGAGTCATGTTTGCTCCCAAGACCAAAGTGTTACCCTCAAATTGATGTCTTTTCAGTTCTGATACACCATTAATATCGATGTAGATTTCAGGAGACGGAGGATACTTAACTCGGTAGACACCTAAAAATATTATCTACTCATTATTACATTTAAAACAGCAAAGTATGTGTTAGTGCACAGTTTAAGAGATAAATATGAATGTAGGGTGAGTATTGGTTCCTATGTATCACTAAAGCCGTACGTTTACACAGGTCAGTTAGCAGGGAGGTTACAGGGCAGGTTACCTGCCTCTAGTATATTTCAAGTTGCCTGGGGCAGGTAACCTGCCCTGCTCGCCATCTGGCCTCATGTAAACGGGGCTTAAGACTAGCGGATTGTGATTACAATAAAACTTTGTTAGTAAGTCTAGCAGTCTAGCTGACTGCATTGTGTTACTTTATTACCAAGATCAACCGATTGATGAATCATGATCATCAATGCACAAAGATCAATGACAGTTGTCGGGTTTAATTTCATAACTTCACAAAGCTAACAGACTTTTCTTGGAAAGATTTTATAAGAAAGACTAAAGAGGTGAACATATTATTTACCCAGCTAAATTGTACTATATTACCTGATTTGATAAGGTGAGGCATGGTGTATTTTACAGATAAAACTATTGCTTGTGAGATATTACCCAGATAATTTATTACATGGTACCTAACAATAAATGAATGAAATGAGTAAATGATTAGGTATCATTTTTACCTTATTAAAATGATTACCTTGAGCTGTATTTCCACCGACTAACATGTACGTCCCTTTGATCGTAGAAAATATCTCAAGTATTTGACGAACTGTTGTTGCCCTGTACCATTCTCCACCACCCAAGGTATGCAGGCTGATTGTGGATGGGGCAAGAGCTAACTCTACAAAGCAGCGTTCTAAATCGTCTTTTTCTTCAACACATTCAAAGTCGATTGAAGGAAGATGTAGGTTGCATTTCTTTTGACATGGTTTTCCATTCTTTTTGCAAACATTGAGCAAGTCCTGAAATATACCATAATATTAAGATCTATTTTTTTGATAAGTTAAATCATTATTATTTATTTACCTATGCAAAGTTTAATATTGCCCTTTATTACAATTACAGCATAAACAGTTTCAACACATATTTTGTGTATGACTACATATTGCACTAAGGGAATTTGTACCTCAATATCATCCATTCTTTCTCTCACTTCTGCAGGACTATCGGCAGCAAAACTTTTGAAGGCATCCAGTATCGGTCGGTAGCCGGTACATCGGCAGTTATTGCCTCCAAAAGATTCTTCAATCTCCTTCATAGACATTGCAGGGTTTGACTGCAACAGACTAAAATACTGGTTGATCATGTTGGGCACTTGGGGTAGTGAAAACTACAAAACATATAAGATTTATTAAGATAAAACTCAAAGTAAAAGTTAAATCATACACGCCACACGGTCACATTGCTTCCTATTACATGAGCATGAGAAAACGGAAATTGTCAAGTACAAAAAATACACGTCAAGCCTATGTAACCAGTTTTTCCATCTTACAACATGATAACTTGCTAGATTACTCATGTAACTTAGTAGTATATATATACATTATAACAGATCATATACTATGATAGTTTTTGCCTATGCATAATACTGATCATAATTAATCCCGTAAATAATTTGTGTTCTTATCATATGTGTGTGTATTTATAATAACTAGAGGTCGTCCAGTGGTCGAAAACTCGACCAAAATATGTAATGTACAAGACTTCTCTATTTTCACCACAAGCTGTAAATAAAACATCTACAGGAAAATATCCTTCTAACAGTATGCATAGATTTTCCCTGCAATGCACATGAGCTGAGAAAAAGTTTTGAAGAAACATTTCTGCTTATATAGATAACAATAATAATATATGTTCTTTGGAACGTAAATATATAATACAGTAATGACAATAATTGGTGAAATTGACTGGGTAGTTATAGTGCTTGCCTTCAAATCTGAAGGTCCCTGGTTAACTTCCAAGCAATATTGTTCCCATAACTATGGGAAGGCATCTTAAACTTAAGATGCCATTCATCATCAGGCTATCAATCAATGATGATAACAAAAAGGTTGTCACTAGTCAGGAACAATAACAGGCTTGTACTGTTTCCTTACAAAAATCGTTTAAAATGCTAATATAATGCATACAAATATTAAATTAATATACACAGTACAAAATAAAAATATAACTTTGGGTGTTATTTTCCATCATAGTATTCCTTTTATGAATAACACAGTTTATTTTGTACAGATAAATATGTACACAATAACATAGTCGTCTGTTTGAACCGAGATTTAATGTTTAAGGACCTAGGTTTGGTCCTGTGAGGATTAGTGTAGAGAGGGATTACATACCTGTACATAGACATGACCCATCCAGGAGTGCAGTATCCACACTGGGTGCCATAGAACTGAGCCAGCCTCGTTTGTACGGGGTGGTAGCCCTGCTTCCTGTTTCCAATACCTTCCACAGTGGTTACGGACATGCCTTGGCATGCATAGACTGCATACAAACACTGTAAGATGTTGATTATACTGTTTACAATAACCAAGTGAAAAATGTCAATTTAAAAAATTACTAAATTTTTTCTCACATTTATATGGCTGTTATCAATGACAATCGGTATACGTTATTCTAACCCACAGTTGTTTTTGTTTTGAATTCTTTATTTAAATAGAGCTGTAAATGACTTCCAAAAGATAATATGATAGTTAGAAATGTATAAACCATTTCAGTTACCCAAACTTAAACAGTCAAAACTTGTATATTTTTGCTTTATTATTTGCGTTATTTTTGCTTATGGTTGACAGGATTCTCTAAGATGTACGGAGCACATTGTTTGATTTACTACTTGTGTGGCATTGTTAGGGTCAGCAGTTTGATTTTCATACTATTTAAACACCATAAACACTACAATATTTATATATTTAATCATTGCAATGCAAACTAGGGAAGTGATTGATGGGCGACAAACCATTGTCCACCAGTTGGAACACCAACTTTTCTTTTATACCCTAAATTATTTAAAAAAAACTACTTTAGTCTTACAACACATCAATCTAAAACAGCTATATTCCTTAGCCTAATGTCCCTTAACCACAAGGAGTTCAAGTTGAACAATTAAGAATTAGTAAGGGTTGAGATGAGACATCTTTTCCTGTGTGGTGTACAACATTTTTCGCCATTCTGTGTCATTATTTAAGGTAATAACTCTATCAACAACAATAACAACAAAATCTTGTACATTCTTCTTATTTATCAACTAAGACTACATCAAAATTTTCTTTGGCAAAATCAGCATACAAAGAATAAAGTCAGACTCAGAATGATGTCCTATAGGCTTTAAATGATTCTTTTTTGTCCTAAAGGAGTAAAATAACTTTAGAAGAAACTATGAGTTCCTTACCGAGTTTACACCAAATGACTTTTCCATTCCAGTGGCAGGATCTGTCAGACTAAGATTGACGATGCAAGCGCCACAACCACCTTCCCGACACATAAACTTGGTGCCTCGTAGATGTGCCACATCTCTGATATATGTCAACAAGGTGGTGTCACCTGCCAGGCCACCTACTGTGGTGCAAATCAACATTTTATCTTGTTAAATTTGTCTATTATCTTGCTAATTGTTTGGGGCGGGAACAATAAGTATCTTACTTACTTACAGGGGAATAGTCCCCTGTAACAAGTGTTTTTTTCCAAGATGGAAAACATCCTTCCTGGCCAACAAAATTTAATTCGCATTCCCTTCCAGTGTAAAAGCTTTAGGCAGTTTTAGAATTAAAAAAAAAACATTTTTGAATTGAGCTACTAACAGAGTGCTGATATATAATTTTTTATTTCAGATACGTCAACGTTTTAACCAAGTTAAACTTCTAAGATGACTTATTGTAAGCTGTATCATCTTATGCCACTCAACTACCACTGAGAAAACTCAGCGAGAAAATAGATAATAGCATTTTAAACAGTGAGGTGCATGTAATGCATATCTAATAGCTGGTGAATAAGTATGATTTCATGTCTACTTTAGCATCCAAAAGTCTATGGTTGGCTACATTTATTAACTTTCAGCAAATATGTTAAACAAACTCCCTCAAATATTTATCATGGCTATATGGAACAGAGACAGATATTTTAAGGCTGGGACTCAAGGACCCAGTAGAAAAACAGGCCATGCCGCAGTGCGGGCAGTGCAACACTACGTCACAGTGTTGGATAGTTATACTAAAATTTTACCATGAAAATCTGACAAATAGCCAGCCTATTTACCTAAAACATATGGGATATTTTAGTGAATCAACAAATCCATCCACTAGTGTGACGTCTTGGATCCTGCAGGATGGCCTCCCGCTAGGAAAAACAGGCCATGCTGCAGCGCGGGCAGCACAACACTACGTCACAGTGGTGGATAGTTGTACTAAACTCTTACCATTAAAATCTTACAAACAGCCAGCTTGTTTATTTACCTAAAACATATGGGAATGGCGATGGCAATGAATTTATCAATGAAATCTATCCACTAGTGTGACGTCATGAATCCTGCAGCATGGCCTGTTTTTTCTAGTGGGGCCTTGATTCACTCCAGTTTAAAAGGTGGTATTTACTCAGGGGAGGTATAGAAGAGGCTACGATGACAGCTGTGGGCTTCTTTTTAGCTGTGGGAACGCCATTTCCGTAACAAAACGGTAGATAGCCATAGGCCTCGGTGGTCTAATGGTTAGCGTGCCGGGCTGATATGCTGTAGGTCCCGGGTTCAAATCTCGCTGGTAGCATTAACTTTTTGTCCAAGATGTTTTTACTATCAGCAAGTTTGGTTGGTTTGGTTCGGTTATTACAGTTTAATTTTATTATTAAGTCATTATAACATTTTAATTGAGCAATTTCTAGTTTTATTTAATAAACAGAATTATTTTTCCCATTACTAAACTTTTGTTATATTATTTCTTTATCAGCAAGTTTGGTTAGTTCGGTTAGGTTATGATAGTTTAATTTTATAATTAAAAAATAATAAAATTGAATTTGAGGCATTTATAATTTTATTTTATGAACAGAACTATTTTTGCGATTAGTAAACCTTCATTGCCAAAGTGCTCTCTACTACAGCGCTGTTCACGGAGAAATTTTGAACTAAATGCCTCATTCGTACCTCCCCTAAGTCAGACCCTTAAAAGGTGATGTTTTGTTGTTTACTATACTAATGTATTTGTTTCCTTTATTTAGCTAAACTCTTTAACTGAATATAACAATCTGTTTATAAACTATTTGTTTGCCTTCCACAACTATAATTTTGTTTTTGGTTTAGGACTTTTTAAACAAGTGTGGAGGATAGCAGCATTCAAGAGGATTTTACATTTGGTCTTATTTCTAAAATATTATTATGTAAATGCACACATTGTTTTATGACTCTCGGTACAGTATAAGTATGCTTGTTAGGAAATAGGCTGTTTTGAACAAATTTACATAATTTATTGAAATTGGTAGAAATACCTTTTTGAATTTTTCCATTCAATCTAAATGTCACATAGTCGCCCGTGTTCATCCTGGAAATGAAAATATAATATAATGAAAATATTTGTTTATTTGTAAAAAATTCCAAATCTTATTATAGCTGAATAACCATGTACTTGATTATGTACAGTATAACTACTTAAATTTTAAATATTGATAAGCTAAGCTAAAGACAAATGTTTGAATATTGACTTCCTTTTGACATTTTTGTTTGTCTTACATATCTAAACCTACAACATAGTGTAGAAACATACAGACAGCGTAGTGTAGCGCAACGTAGCGCAGCGCAGCGTAGCGTATAGGAGCGCAGCGTAGTCCAATACACACAGAGAGCGCAGCGTAGCGTAGCGCAACATAGGTTGTAGACGGTCTTAATAGGGTACATCAGTATAGAAGATGGCTCTGTCGAAGACGGCTCGTATTAGTTTTGTCGAAAATACCTTAAGGTGGCAGTTTTTGATCAGTAGGAGAAGTGTCGGGGTGCATGAAGTGTGTAAAGGCAGGAACAAGCATGGTGAATACATCGTATTTCCAATCCTTAGGAAACACGAGTCTCGGTTTAAGAATTATGTAAGAATGTCGACTACAACGTTCGATTACATATTTAGTTTGGTGAAGGATGATTGAGAGAAGCTTACAACTAATTGAAGGGGACCAATTGGTGCAGAAAAGAGACTAGAATTGACTCTTAAGCGTGTCTGCAGTCGAATGCGCTCCAATACGCTCTGAGGAAAACAAAATAGTTTGTTCCTCGGTCGTACGCTGCGCTGCGCTACGCTACGCTACGCCGAAATACGCTACTAGTATGTCATACCTCATTTCAATGCACGGTTTTGATTTAAAACATGCGCTGCGCTGCGCTACGCTACGCTGTCTGTATGTTTTTTCACATAGAATGCATCGCCCTATTGCTTGATATTGAATGATGTTAGTTGAATAATTGCTACAGACAAGCCATGAATGGCTTTTTTAGCTTAATTGTATGTGTTTTGTACATTTGTATTTTTTGGGAATAAATAAAGCATATTGTAACTATCTTTAGATGTTTGGCTAAACTGGTAAGCCATATATTACCACGTACAAGATAGATAATCCTAACTTTTTTGAATGAATTTCCTTACTTTTTATTACTTTTTTCTAACTACAGAATGTAATTACTTGGATACTATTCAAGGTAAATTCTTTATTGTGCCTAGAACAACAAATCTATATAATTAATACGCTACATGAAACTTTGTCGGTTGAACTCCTCCGCCATTTCTTAACCGATTTTATCCATTGACGTCTCATTGGTCTCTCACTGGCCTTTTATTTTTGAAAAAGTCCCTTGGGCTCTGCCCCAGTGGCTTTGAAAGTTCCCATGTTATCCTTATGAAGAACATAATTGTTTACATTTTGATCAGCTGTATAATTTAACTGCTGTTATTTATTTTTCAATTCAATGAAACACATTGAGTACGTTTATTTACTATTTGAGTTTGTTTTAACATAACCCCCAAGACGAATCGTGTTAGTATGGTTGTATCTTAAATTTGTGTATTTATCGTTGTTTTGTGTCGCTATGACGGATCGTGTTAGCATGATTGTAACTTAAATTTGTGCATTTATCGTTGTTTTGTGTAGATATAATTTGTTTATTTGTTGTTTTTTTTCTTCTAAATGCCTCCGATGCGACGACAACGAAACATAGACAGGAGGCGTAATCGTGATAACGACCGCAACTACAGAACAGTGGCGCGTAATAGGTTAGTAGTATATGTTTTCTGTGTTTAACCACAGATAATATAACCCCTTAACTCAACACATTCAGCACCTGACCCTGGCCCAACACTACCCCAACACGACTTTCCGTTCACAATTGGCCCTCTATCAATGACCTGTGTTGCCGGTACAGCAAGGTATTTTGAGAAGGAGAAAACCGGCAGGAATGCTTTAGGTTTGGTTTATCAATAACGAAGATAAACTTGGTCTGAGTTAGCCTACACACCGGTAATCCTTGAGTTGACTCTTTTAAACTCATTGTAAATATGACTATTATTCGTTTTGAAATAAATCCTGTAACACTTTGCAATTGCTCGAATTCGAGCAACATGTACACTAGTAATTATTAATATTCTAAAAGAACTAGGGAATTTTAGTTCCATTCTTGTTAACTAGTTTACCGGTACACCTGAGGAATATATGTTACTGTAGAGTTTTAAAGATGAAGTTAAAGAATTTATATCTAGATCTGAGTTTAAAATAATTGTGTTTCATTGCTGTTCACTGTTCCAAATGTTTATTATTATTACTTTTTTAATAGTTTATTAATTGTTTAACTTGTTTATTACTGTTACTTTTTTCATTGTTTATAAATAATTGTTAAAATTTTGACTACTTTAAATTCTATGATTGGTTTGGTATATTTTGTGTCATGATATAGTTTACTTACATAAAAACAAGGGAAACAAAAGACTGATTGAATAAAAAAGAACTGTGAAATAACAAAAATTATAATAATTGCTGCAGACAAGCCATGAATGGCTTTTGTAGCTAAATTGTATGTGTTTTGTAAATTTGTATTTTTTTTGGAAATAAATAAACAAATTGAAAAAATAAACATTTTATATGTCAAATTGAGTCTAAAATAATTAAATTTTGTTTCCCCTGTAGCAAAGGAGGAAACTTTGACCTTGGCATGCGCAAAATAGGTGTGGGGTGGTAGGCCCCTATTGCGTGTCACACGCCTGACGCCAGTCGCCTAGTCGCCAGTGCAATGTTTAGGGCGCAACAGAAGGCACAGCAAAGATTTTATATAGACTAGTGCACCTGTTGCTCGAATTCGTGCAATTTCAAAGAATTACAGGCAATCAAAACTAATAACAGTCAAAAGAGTCATTTAAAGCTTATGTAACCAATCACTCCACAGCAGTTATCGAAACTGAAAATGAACTCACTCTGAATAGGAAAGCTCTTGTGTGCATCATGTGTTTACTATGAACAGCTGTATATAACAGTCGAAGTGGTCTACACAAAAAATACTTAATTTTGACACATCTTTTGTAAAAATCTGTCCATTATTAACGGAGGAGTAGTGTTTTGTAGAAATCGCCTTCACGTATTATATAAGGATTTCTAAATTATACTAAATTTAAATCTACTTGATGATAATGAAATTTGACGCTGGTTTAATGAGTTTTGTGGTACCATAGTGTTTTGAAAAGACCTTCACCTGGCCGGCTAAAAACAAGTGACAACAGTCGAAGAAATCCGACAATTCTGTATCAGAAGCACGGAAAAATCTATTGACCGACGAAGTCTTCAGTTGAATATACCAAAATCGACACTTCATGATGTTATCTGTAAAAGATAGAGTCTTTTTGTCTAAAAAGATTCTCTTAAGACATCAGATAAACCCGCCGATCGCCCTAAGTGTACAGACTTAGCCAGTTTTACCCTCTCATAAGATTAATGAAAATCTTAATTTTATCATCAAACTATTCCGAATTGTATCAAAGTATGAGAAAAAAACTTTGTTCTTTTCCCTTCAATTTGATGTTTAAATCATTTATATATCTTGAATAGTCCCTGAGCAAAGACCATTTAAATCCCGACATTGTTTTATAAACACCCTGTATTATGTCACCGAAATAAGATTAGGTGTTAAGTAATAATTTGAAATTAAGTAAAACTAAAATTTTGGAAGGATTTAAACCAGTTTTGCTAGTTTCTGAAATCTGAATACTCTAAACAAAATTGTGTTTTTTCTAAACTAAAACATAAAATAACATATTTCTAGCTCACTAACTGTATACCAACTTTGATATTGCTTGATATCAAACCTAAAATTAATTTGATCTTCATAGACACACTAAAACATAACTGCATCAGAGACTTGATAAAATTAATGTCACAGGGGCAAATACTTCATTTACATTTGATAAGATAAACACTTTATTGATATAACTGAACTGTCAAAGTAAACAAGGAAAATGTGGTCTTATATTGATTTAAACTAGAAATAAGAATGTAAAATAACTATATTGTTAAGAATGTATGGTATAAAATGATGAATATTCTGAACCTAACTGACTGCTAACTAACTAACTGCTGATGAATTGTTCTCAGGATTATTCACAAACTTATGGTTTTTGTGTACATAATATTTAAAATTTTTGTATATTTTGTAGTTTTTCAATATTTAATAGCTATTTACCTTACAAGTGTAGTAAGAGCGTTTTTACATCAAGCAGGTGAATGTTGTGCAACGAGCGGAAGCGAGTTGCATAACTTACTGAAGTGATGTAAACACGCTCTTGCGTAACGTGTAACGTACAAGATTTTACCTGACCCGACAATGTACAGGAGGTTACAAACAATATTTTTCATTATCCATTTCACTCATCTTCTAACAGTAACGTTCATTTACAAACAAAAGCTAGGTTAGGAAAATTCTTCAAAACATAACAATAACATTCAAGCGCACAGCTGATTTCTAGCGTTGAACGTCGTTGGCTCCATAGAGGTATATTTTTTAAGTTAAGCACTCAATGTTATTTAAAAGGGTTTTATTACATCACCAAGTGAGTTTTTTTCAACTTTACATCACTCAAGAAGTAACGAAGTTATATACATCACGCTGTTGCATTTTTAACAGTCGATAAAGCAATTTTTAGGTATTAAATTCGTTAATGATGATGGTAAATAAATCTCTTGGCAGTGTTTAAATATTTTGTATGTACTACATAACATTTTATTTAAATCATTACAGTAAACAGAAACTATCACAGTTAACATTTTACATGTGCATGACAGAGCAGAATAAGTTGTGCAGTATTTTTTTATTCATGACGAGTTTTTAGCTAATATTAAATACGGTACATAAATTTGAAACCTACAGACAATAACATTTATGTTCTTCATTAGAGATAATGAAGATAGCAAAGGTCAAAACATCCGAGAAACAACAATAAAGGTAAATGTAATATAGGTAAATGTAATAAATATGTTGTGAATGACTATTTTGTTAAATACAGAAATCCTGCTTACAAAACTAAACTATTCTCTATTCTAAACAATTGAACAGTAAATTGTTTACTACCAAGTTTCAAACAGTTAATCTCAAGAAACAATAGTCAGATAACCCAAAGTTTATATTGCTAAAGAAACTAAATTTTCTAATACCACTTGCATGAAAATGATTAGTTTCACTGATAGTTTTAACACGCCTCATTTGTGTTTCTTATGGAGGTTCATTATCCTGCACCACCAAAAAAATATGAAATACCTAAGCTTATTTCTAGTACATTAGATTTAATCTGGTTCTAACACTTCGGCATCAGATCCCATGTATGAACTGGCGTGGTTAGCAAGTGACAGGGTGCTGTCTGTACTATCACTATACTACTACACTATCATATGAGTTAGGGGCACAATGCTGTTTAGAGGACCGACCAGGTCCCGCTGAAATGAATCACTCAGTTGGCGCAACCAGTTGTGGAAAGGACCGGAGTTAGTGTGCGTTGCTGGAGCTATACAACCTACACTGTGTGTTTTTCGCCCGCCATTCCTTTGGACCAAAACCGGTCTACCGGTAAATTCCCACTTGCACAATTTATTTATTGACTTTGGACGTATTGGCGTATTTCTTTTGTAGTTTGCATTTTATACGACGTAACAATATATTTTATAGTTTATTATTTTAGTTTATGTGGCTTTTAGCGAATTTCCCATATAGGGAATATTAGCGAATTTCCCATATAGGGAATAAGCTATTACCGTAGTACTCATGGTAAGACCTGGACCCGGGACCGATTTACTTTTTCGTTTTGAGGTCCCTAGAGACCAAAAACACCATCCGTTTAGATTCATATATATATATATATATATATTTATATATATATATTTATATAAGTGTCCGTTAGCGCGATAACTCGAGCAAAAATGATCCGATTTTGATGAAATTTGGTGGAAACGTGTAATCCTACGTTTATTCAAACGAGTTCGCGATCCAGCATAATCGGACCATGGGAACGGGGGTTTATGGGGGGTTTTATGGGGTAAAAATGGGGTTTTCCCATTTTTGACCCTAAAAACAAAAAATTTTGCAATTTCTTCCTAAACCGTTTTGTAGAGCTTAAAAAAAGAAATAATTTAGTATATTGAAGCGCTGTTGTATGCCTAACGGTCACGGAGAAAATTCAAAAATAGTGTAATTTAAAATTCCCATGTTATTCTTATGGAGAAAATGAAAATTGTTGTAGTTTACTTATATATTGATAAAATTTGGCAAATTTATTTATTTCATCCTATACTATTGACGTATGGTCAAAAACACTTTTTACCTTCCCCGTAGCAGCAAACCTAAGCACTCGTTAAATATAATGTTATTTAAATAGGGAATAAATATGTCTTATTTGGAAATATTTTAGTAAAAATGTAATCAGACAAGTTGAAATTCGCTTAGTCTGCAGGTTTGCTGTGGCGGGGGTATTATAAAGATGTACTCCCCAATACCAAATTCTTATCAGCAGTTCCATGATTCACTGTTATTGAAATAAACAATGGTTGGGAAGGAGGAAGGGGCTATATAATTGTACCAGTGGCCGGCAATTTGGGACGCAATTTTTATTGGGAAAACTGCTCAAAACACTATTTCCGACCTGGATCCTCATTTTTGGCAACAAAAAATAAGATTTTATGTGAAAAAATTTCAGGTCCTATTGAAGGACCCACTGATATATTTACCGCACTCAATTTGTTAAGAACAATCAACAGCTGGGTTTAGTTTAAAACCATCTAAAAGCTACTGATAGCTACCCAGCTAAGATTAGATTAGATTTATATGACACTGACACAAAGTTTGTTTTAATACAAAGATGGGTGAAGGGTGAGTTTTGAATGAAGAATATGATAGCTTTGTTACTGACTCAGTTCAGCTTGCTTTTTGGCCAGGACCATTCATTTATTGTACATACAGGATTCAACCCCTTGGGTTTGATTTCAAACTTTCTAAAAGCTATTGACGTTTCTCAGGATTGAACTGGCAACCTACTGATTACTCGAAGAGCGCTAAATCCACTTGACTACCCAGCAACCATATCATACAAAATCTATACCAAAAAGATATGTATAAGAGGATCTACTGTACAGTACTGTACTATCAACTATAATGATTCACAAATTAACCTACAAACTAATTTGATTCTAATGCTATACACTATAAACTATGACTATATAGAGATGTAGACATCTCTTCCACATGTTAGCTGCAGAAAGTTTTTGATTTGACATTAACATAGTTGAATTGAGGCAACAACACAACAGAGTGCTGCTGCCAAATTACTGATTTCTGTTGAATATTAAATTACCGATATTATCCCTCTTAGCTTTTGAAGATTTTATAATTTGTAATGGTGTGACGTAAAAGATGCTATCGTTCATAAGTTTGGTTTGATTAAGACCTTAATCACACCATTATAAATTATAACATCTTCAAAAGCTAAGAAAGAAAATATAATTTTGACACAGAGTAGCTCACACTCTGTAAGCAACTCATTCAACTATGTTCTATCCTCATGGAAAATTGGCTACAGCTGACCCATACGGATGGGATGTCTACCCTAGAATACAAAAGTCAATGCTAACTGTCTGTTAGTTTTGCGATCTGTCGCTTAGCCAAATAAACATGGCAACTCCAACTAGCACAAGTGCACACGTCGGGTACAAATGTGAAGAGCTTGAAGGAGTGATGGTGTCCCAAAGAGCAACTCTTGCTGCCAGGAAATCTTGCTCCACCATCTGCAGAGTATTGTTGATGAGAAGATAGTTAGTCATCACTTTTCCAACTGGTTTCCATTCAACATCCTCCAAGACAGGGTCCTTTTCAACTGTTGGCGTTCTGAAATTTATAAATTATTTTATTAAAAGTTTTGCTGAAAATCTTTATGTATGAAACATTATTTTATTCTTGTATAACAGTTGCTATTCGAGTTTCAAGAACTTGAATTATACTAATCACCTTATTTTGGAGCCTACATTCTTTAGGTTAAGGTTTATATTCACATGTACATTTTGCCTGCTTTTGTGGTATCTTCAGGGGAGGTAAGAAGATAGAAGACCCCTGAAGATGCCACAATTGGCAAAATATACAGTGAATATAAACCATTACACCAAGATCAATTGCAAACAAAATGTAATTAATATTGATAAATACAATTAAACTAAACATTATACACTTAAGTGTAACATTAGGGTGTCAAAAAGTCATACTCTTTTATGTATAATTTCCCTACCTCTTTAAACCTCACATTTGATTAGATTTGATATATACAAAGCTGACACACCAAGGTAATTATGGTGAAGTCAAGTGAAAGAAGATCATGCCAACATAGACATCAGGCCTGTGCAGGGAACATATCAAGCAAAGCAAGATGTGACAGAATCAATAAACTAACGTAATTCAGTTTGTGTGATTAACTATACAATTATGGTTTCATGTAAGCTATCTTCTTAAATTTTTAAGAACACTGTTTCTTTGTTTCGTTTCTTACCCAAACTTAGCAAAGTTTGTCCACATTCTAGCCATTCTCCTCCAAGTTTTCATTTCATCTGAATCTTCTTCTGCCTCTTGATTTACTTTCTCTCTTTCGAATAAATAACTCAATTCTTCAGCATGTGAAACTCCTATAAAAAGGCAACATATACATTTAAGTAGCAGCCTTGTACAAGGTGTCCTGTAAGTGATCATCCAAACTATGAAAATTGTTCTATGCGTCAAAATAAAGAAAAAGCAGAACGCTGAGAGTAAAATTCTTCATTTTATTGGGAATGAGCAGAGTACCAAGCCTTTCGTATGGGGTCGGCATATAAGTATAAAATGCTTATTGCAGTTATAGAAGAGGACACGGTTATAATATATTATAAAAAACTAACTTGGTCCAATTTGAAATTTTTTTATGGCTTTCCTTATAGCAATTTCCTTTTTATAAACTTAAACTTCTAAAAAAGGTCTGATTTTATAACAAAATTTCAAGAACACACGTATCTAGCATTTCAAATTTCCCTATAAAATTCTTCTAGTATTCAAAATATCAATATATATTTCAAACCTAAAAAAATAATTCATTAGCAACAGTTTATTTCACAATTTTCTATTGTTTAATATTTTCCACATAGTTAATTGTAAAATTTTCTTTTATTTATAAAAATTTGTTTGTTTGAAATAATCTGTTACAAATTTTAACTAAATTTTCTTACCTGAAAAAGTGAATATATTTTCCAGAAATTTTACAAAAAATTCCTTGAATTTTCCATTGAAAGCAAAGTAATACAAATACACAGGAGCTCGTTCTCTGTAAACTCTTGCACTGACAGCCGTGGAGTACCCAAACATCTGATCTGTATACATCTGTAAGTGTGTGATTTATTAATACCATTGATTAATCATTCCCTTTCATAGATTAAGGTAAGTCTCAGCTATCCTTTTTCCATTAATTTACCAATAATTTATTGATAAGGAGACACCTCCTAGGTGTGTATTTTGCTGCAAATATGGAGTGAGATACCTTTGTGTAGCTTTGTTACTGACTAAGACCAGCTGTTTCATTAGTCAGGAAAATTTATTAAAAGTCCAATTAAGAACAGCTGGGTCTAGCCACCTAAAAGCTAATGACCCTTCTCCAGATTGAACCCAGGGCCGTATTTAGAACCTGTGAGGCCCCCTGCGGCTGTCACCAGAGAGGCCCCTAAATATTCTGAGTCTTATTTGAAGGTTGGAACTTAGAAATAAACGTGGTATTGCTTTAACTAGAGGAATTGAACTGATTTTAAATCTCATGCTTTAAGCATGAAAGATCTGAAAAAGATTTAACAAGAGCAATAAGTCTACTATTAAAAACTGAAAGCCAATGTGTTGTAGATGAAATATAGAAATAGCTACCATCAGCACCTTCCCACAGGGGATTTACTAACAAGAGGTTTATAAATATTAATAACTCACGTCTACATATCCTCTAAGATTGTTCTCTGAAGGTGGCTCTTTAAAGTAGAAATTCTTCAGTCTGTCAGTGAGAAGTTTTAACCTTTCTTTGTTGCATTTCTTCACTATACTATATGGGATCACTTGGTCAAGATTATTTGTTATGTTTCTAATTTGTTCTTTGCTACCTGTAACCAAAATACATCAGACAATATTCATTATTTAACAGAGTGTACATATATTTATACTAACAACAAAAGCTTTATGTTAAGCAGGAAACAAACGAGAAGTTTTTATTTAGACATGCATAGGTATAAGCTTTCTATAGTCATTATTACTGAAAAGTTGTCTTCTAGATCATTGGGGTTGAAATAAATGTCCCTGGTAAAAAAACTGCTTCTGTGTCCTATCTGAATAAAACACATCTTTAGCATAGATATCGTTTATGACTCAACATCTTCAAACCCTATGAGGCTATATAGGCCCTAGCCCAGAACTATTTCAAACATTAATTCAGGCTCGGCCTAGAGGGTTATGGTATTATTTCTTAGATAAAATCCATTGGTGATTGGCGGGATTTGAAACCAGGACCTCGGGACTAAAGTTTTGCGCTCTACCACAAGACCACCCCTACATCAAGTGATTTTCTATCGTTCAATGTAACTAATAAACTTAACCAATCTAATGCCCATAATATTGTGCATCTTTCTAGAAAGGTATAAATCAAAACAATTACTTACGCAGCATCATCATTCCTTCGTCGCTGTTTATGCCCATGATGAAAGGAACAAACGACCCTTGCTTGAGCTCTATGAGTCTGGTTGGAATCTCTGGCAAAAAAGGTTTTGGACTGTTCTTGTCCACATTAGGAATAAACACCAGACTTTGTTTCCTTCCATTCTGTGGACAGATAAAATATATCCCTTAGCATAAATTTAACTTGCTAGACGACCACAATGTTTGTTGTTCGTTTACGATTGTTGGCTATGAACAAAAGTGGTACGAGTGCATAAGTTGAGCTAGATAGCTGAGTGGCTACAATGCTAGTCTAGTATTGAGTAGGTTATTGGAGGTTCGATCCCGAGAAAAGTCATTAGCTTTTTGATGGATGAAACTGAATTCAGCTGTCCTTCATAATTTGGGTTTTTTTCCCTGTCTAAAGAAACAGCTGGTCAGTCACAAGCCACACATAGCACCTTACTTCAACTCTATACTCATGTTTTATTCACATTCACTTCACCAATATTCACCGAGATGTCGTTACTACTAAAAAATTATAATGGCGACAAAATGTCCTTTTGAACCATTCAAAGGCCATCCAAACTAAATGGAGTCTACTTCAGGGAAATGAGGGAAACATTACTATATTCAAATTGCTATGATCTAGAAAATGGATGTAAAAATAAGAGGAAGGCACATAGCAAACCACACACCACTAGCAAAGATGGCACCTTCTGTTGAGCCGACACAATGTCTTCAGCATTCACTAGCAATAGACACCTACAGACATCAACTAAGTCCTCGTAAGTGCAGTTTACCATCTTAGCTAATGCTTTCCCATAGGCCTGGCCATTCTCCGTTACAGCCCAGTCTCCTAGAGCAGTCCCACTCTCTCCGATCACTCGATGGAACAGACCTGGAGAATAAACACAATATGAGTCATCACACACCATGCTGAAAGATTTGATTATTGGGCTAAATACATTGTCATGGCTAAAGAAACAGCTGATCTAATAGTCTGTAACAAAAGCTACACAAGACTCTAATAGTCTGTAATAAAAGCCACACGAGTCATCTTACTTGTCGTAAACTCACTTTTCACTCATATTTGGGTTGAAATACATATCTTAGCCGTGTTTTCATCCCATTTTATAGATATAGCAATTTTAAACGTGTCTAACTTAAAGGTCAGATTCCAAGAGGCTTTCAGGGCATTTACATTCCTTCAAAACAGAAAAGGAGGACCTAAATTCGCTAGTGTAAATATCGTTTAGTTCAGGGACGTATTTAAGTATCCTTAAATAAAGGACGTAGAAAGTAAGGGATGTATTCGTTGCCGCCTCCAGGCAACGAAGTTTGCCGCTGCCCCCCCCCCCCCACAACTTATCAGCACACTCCCCGACCTCACTAATATCACACCAATGGACAATACATGCCCTGTCAGCTGATTTTGTAGAAAAATAATCTGCAATATTGCATGCTGCATCAACAAATTTAATAACTTTTGAGCCCTTATAAGGGACGGTTTTTTGCGTTGTTTTTATGCAGAACGTGATTTTGACTTGAATACACGGTATGCAAACCAATCAGTAATTATAATCGCGCTTTGAGGCGTGAAACGGCACACAAAATCGTCTTTATACAAGGGATCATATAACTGTCATTTAAGGGGATACAGTACATTTTTGAGACATTATGACTTTATTTATTGTAATAGCATTACACCTGGTCCCAAAAATATCCAAAAATAAAACGGTTCTAAGATTGGTTTTGTCTAATGAGTTCTGGAATCATTTTATACTTGATCAAAATATTTTTAATGGCTGTTTTGCCGTTCCTAGAATTATTTGCTAAACGTTTATTTTTTTAGATTAACCCCCGATTTTTAACCCCCAAAATTTTGCCGCCCCTAAAATTTTCAGCCCTAGGCAGGCGCGTAGTCCGCCTATTCGGAAATATGTCCCTGGTTTAGCTAGTAAATATTTCTTCTTAACCTAATAGAGGGACTTTTTAATTGTACCAGTACTAAAACAGTAGCTTCAAATATAAATAAAAATTTTAAAAAAAACATGTAGAAGTTTAAGTACATATAAAGTAACTATTTTGAAATGAACATTAAAGTTTGAAACTATGGTTGTATAGCTATAAAACTATTATCATTCACTCTTAAATAAATCATTCTCACTTGGCATAGGGATTTCAACCTTCTATTCAAATAGATCGGTATATAATTAGCAATTTGACCATTTCTTAAAACAAGAAAAGAGAAGTTACCCTTAGAGAGAGGGGAGAGGTAGTGTAGATGGACGGACGCAGATCCTGCACTTTCTCCAAACAATGTTACATTGTTAGGGTTTCCTCCAAACTTCCGGATCTCTCTCTGAACCCACCGGAGTGCAAACATCTGATCCTTCAACCCAGCATTGCCGGGAACATCCGGTGTGTCCAGAGTCAGGAAACCTTCGTAACAATCGTGGTACATATTAATTGTTTTCAATACTTTAATGCTAAAGGCTGTATTACGCATAGTGAGTTTACAGTCTACTGGCCAGCTTTCCTGCACAAGGATCGCGATTTAGCGGTATTATACTCAACACACTCGCTCTGTAGCTGTTATTGAAAAAAAAACTCTGGAAGAAGTTTAAAAAAAAAAGTTAGAGTCTGCCGCTGATTAAAAAGGTGACTTTACAGACAATTTACAAGGTTTTGAGCAAATTAGATTGTGCACTCCCAGTTGCTTTTGTACAAGAAAAAGGTAGGATGATGTTAGAGGAATTGGAGATGTTTGAAGTGCTTCCCAAACAGTCTTATTTTTTACTTCCTGTCTTACTAGACAGGAAGTAAAAAATAAGACTGTTTGGGAAGCACTTCAAACATCTCCAATTCCTTATAATATTTCTCTGTGTAATGGACCCTTTAAGCAGATAGTTTTATCCCTAGGGTAAAAATAATCTGCTGATGTCAAGGACAACAACAGTAAATTTCTTAGTTTACTTCAATTGCAAATAATACAGTCTCAGTGATAGTTAGTTGTTATTTTATGGTCAGTAGGAAGCCATTTTAAAAACGTGTAAAGTTCATAAGGTTTATTTCTGACTGTCGAGTTTAAAGCCTCGGCTTGCACCATTTGTTAAGTATAAGTATATGTGGGAAAGAGTCACTTTATACAGGGTCTAAAGTCAAAAAGCACCGATAAATAAAACCTGTAGAGGCTAATGTTAACCGCACAACTTAATGGTAAAATATTTTAATAACAACAATATAACTTTTTTTAAGTTTTACCTAGTGCTCCAAGTCGATAATTGAGTGTAACCACAATTACACCTTCTCCCACCAAAATGTCAGGACCATAGCGGAAGTAGCTTCCAGATCCCTCGATGAACGCACCACCGTGCATCCATACCATCACTGGTAACAGCTCTTCTTTTTTGGGGTACTGGGAATATTGAGTAATTGGTTAATTAATCATTTTTATACTTTAAAAAGAGATGTATGTACTTGGTATGTGTATGTTTGTTTTGGTTTTGGACAAAGGTAAAGAATCAACTGGGCTGAAATAGTACACAAAAGTTGACCAATCAATGGCAATATAAATGTTGTTTGAATCTTTAGGTAGAGTCTAAAAATCTAATTTAAAAGTGCCTGTGGCCAGACAGTTAACACTTTGAGCTCCACAGATTATTTAGTGATTCAATTATACCTTTTTTATTATGCTTTACCTTCATATTATACAGGGTGAATAAAAAGTCAAGACCCTCCATCAAATATTTTTCCAAGTAAATATACAGAGATATACTTTTGGGGGTCGTGCAATCTTAGCACGAAGTTTCATTTTATGATTTTGAAATTTTTGAGTGCCCCCCCCAAAAGGGGGGACTTGGGGGGTAACTCAAATATTTTAAAAGTAAACCCCCTTCAAAACACCCCATCATTTTGAAGTGTTTACAAAAACTTAAAGAATGGTGAAAACTAGAGGTCGCTATCTCTTCTCTATCCAAAATGGTAGCCCGTCAAATGTTGTGGAAAATCAATGGTAAAATTGGTTCGTAATGGTAATATTGGCTACCATTTTGGATAGAGAAGAGATAGCGAACTCCATATACGTTTCCTATATCAGTTATTGCTTTCAACCTTTTTATTGAATGTTACCTATCATAGATAGTGGTAAGTGGATTATTTACTCTTGATATTTTATTCTTGTGTCCAATATATTAGGCCTTGAAGCTCAAAGGGCCTTATTTATCAAATTGAATATAATATTTGTTGTATTTGTTGTGTTTTTCCTAAGGGTTTAATAAAACAAAAACCATTACCACTGGTGAATGAACGTTCAAGTATAAACAGTCCTCGCTCATTTCAAATGTTATGTTCTTGTAGCCAATGATGAAGTTGGAGTTCTGCATGCAGGATGGTTGGTCTTCCGAACAATTCCTTACTGATGTCCAACTCTCTGGAGGAACAGGGTACTGTAAACATTCAAGAGGTTAATCGTAAGCAAACTATGAGGCTATTCAAATGTATGCTGTAATTTCACCAGCACCTATTGCTCACCCAGAAATATGGCATTCATTTGGTTACGTAAGACATCGCTGTGTATTTTAACCATGAATTGGAGTAGGATAACCTGTGCATTACTGACCAAGATCACCTGTTTCTTTAGTCAGAACCATTTAAAAGCCCAATGATCAAGGACAGCTGGGTCCAGTTTTGAACTATGAAAACGCTCTTGACTTTTATAAGGATCGAACTAGTAATTTTATGAATACCAAACAAGCACTATCAACTAATCAGCTATATAGCAACTATAACCTTTCAAGCCCCTTTCTTCCATGAAGGTATTTTATAAAGCATGTGTCTTGTAAAAGTTACTGTTAATAAAATTAACATTAAAATAAAACTATCCTTACATTAAAACGTAGGTTTCCCACTGGAGGTGCTGCATAAGGAATACCTCTGAAGGCGTATATGGGTTTCTTAGTCCAAGAGGATGTATATTTAAATCCTTGTACAGGACCAAGTGAAGTTTCTACGGTAGGGAAGTTTTCATCAGTTTCATTATCTGCTTGGATTCCACTGAAACATGGCACACATTAGTATGATTAAAATATGTTACACTCAGCAGATCCTTGCTATAGATCCATACAGTAATCCAGAGTACCGGAACATTGTTCATCATGATATTTATTGTAAAGTCATATATCTTACTAACAGAAGCAATTTTTCTGGTGCACAATATGCTGCATGACCCACAGAGTGTTGTCTCTTTGTAAGCCCGACTATTTACGCTAGAGGCTTTCTCTTTGCGATGAGGTTTCCCAGCGCAGGACACGTCATAGTGGGATGCTTCACCTCCCAAGAGTTTCTCTAGAGCTTGGGAGGAAGTGCTTCTCATACTTTGGACCTCCATTGTACATTGACCTACCCGACGGTCTGAAGTGTGACGTAATTTTCCTAGCGGACGACGAGTGGGAAATTACGCCACCGGTAACAAAACGAGGATCCCAGGATTCGCCCTAGTCTGGTCGCGGGGAGTTTCCCAGGAGTCGATAGTGATTCGGATAGCCTAAGTTTGATAGCCCTGGTTGTCAGAGTTCGAGACGAACGTTGCGGGTTACTAAACACCCTACTCGAAATCACCACTCTAGCCTAGGGCTTGTGGGGAAAATAATAATTTTGACTTGACTCGGTGGGCAAATATCTAAATGACACACTACTAGCTAACTTAACAAATCAACAAGTAAGCTAAGTAGGCACTCCGCTTACCTACGGAGTTACGTCGTCACCCTGAAACAAACAAGGTTAGTACAAGATAGGCCTAACCTAGCCTAACTCCCACAGAGTCTGAATTTACTAAAATGATAAGAAAACAAGTTAGCCTAAGTGGTCCAGGTGAGGAACGAACAAAAAAAACGAAACTAAAAAGGTGAAACTGCTCCTTGAGCCAAAAACGAAAAACTAAAACTTTAACTTCCTCACGTGTTCAACTTAGACCAACTTCGACAGAACTTGTCCAGCAGAAACCTGTCTGCTGGAACGGACTTTGGTACGTCTGGGGAACTTTAAAAAGGGGTTTTCAGAATTAAAAAAGAAAGTCCCAAGACGGATTATGAAACGTAATTGAAAATATATTTCACCAACTGCAGTACTTTACTCAAATTGTTGGTTAAGGCGTATGACTAGGTCTGCGAATCAGGCCTAGCCTTCAAGTTCAACCAAGTTAAGTACACGAAAACTGGTCAAATAATATACAATAATCTGTAAGTTAGTTACAAAACTTACCCGATGACGAAATTATATCAAAATATTCACTACGAAACAATACGTACGAACTTAAGCTTTCAGAGCTTGCGATACGAACTTAAACTTGCACGAATTTTCGAGAGCGAACCAAAAACGAAACAAACTTACGAAAAGCCGGGATTACGAATGACAATTCTACTCCACAATTCTTCTTCTTCCTTCACCTTCGTCTCAGAATCGAGACGAAAGTTAAAACGCTTCCTGATTGGTCAGCACAAACAGAGTCAGCTGAGTCCCGTGTCAGCAAAGGCAGGCGTATGACAGCTTTAACCTGCTTTATAGCTGCCTCGCTCACAAGGTGGATCAGCTGCTCTTATTCTCTCCCGTAGCCCGCCCTCAGACGCAGTCGAACAACCAAACAACCAAACTGACACCAACGTCGTCTGCTGTCTTGGAATTGGAGGTTAGGTGCGATGTCAGTTTAGCGTCGCGACTAGGGCACAACAACAGCTTACATTCAGCTGTTTAAGTTTCGTGGTTTAGCCGTTATTTTACCCCCTACACATTTGACCCGTTACACCCCCTCCACACTTCGGAACGAAAAAAAAAGAAAAACGAGAAAAAGAAAAAAAAGCTGTTGAGCTTTCTTGCAGGTGACACATCAGTAGGATCGTGGGCAAGAAAAGTTGACAGAAGCTGATGCCGGACCCCGTTAGTCCGGCTGCTCCAGGGTGTTGACGACGAAAAGCGAACGAAGCCGGGTTGCCTCAGAGGTCTAAACGAAAACGACTCGGGGCGAAGGAAAACCGAAGATGGGGTTGACGAAGGTAGGGTAGCACGGCGGGCTCGGAGTCTCGGACGCGTGGTTAAGAGCTGCTCACGATGATACGTCACCCCCCAGACGAGGGTTATCTATGACTGCTTGTCGGCAGCTTGACGTGGCCGAAAGGACTGATGAACAAACGGATCGCAATACGTTGCTGCGGTTGCGGGATCCTTGCATATTAGTCACGTGCACAGAAAGGTTTTAAGTCTTTCACGTGCACGACGTGTACCGCAGCAGAATCCTCGTCTCGTACCTCGTAGAGATTAGCACCTCGACGACCGACCACAATGCAGGGGCCATGATATTTTGGTGCTAATTTCCCTACGATGGCGTCCGCAGCGGAAGACAGGATGTGAAGTCTTCTCATCACCTGCGCGCCAACTTCGTGAGTCACCTCCCTACGACGGAGGTTATAATATGTCGATTGCCTCTCGTAGGCAGCCTTGAGGTTCTTGTGTGTCTGCACGATCAGACGCTGAAACTCATCCAGTCGTTTGCGATGGGTCTCACTTAACGAGGGACCTTGGGGAGTTTCAGACACCTCAAGCGAAAGGCCACGGACGGCACAGGGAGGCTTCAGTTCACGTCCGAAACACAGCATCGCGGGAGTGAATCCAGTAGAGTCGTGGACAGCTGTGTTAAGGGCGTACTGAAACTCCACTAGGTGGTTGTCCCAAGACCTATGGTTGCCTTTCACGAACTGCGCAATCATAGTCTTCACCACCCGGTTCTGCCTCTCGACTGGGTTCGACTGCGGGCTGTAGGGGGCCGTTGTCTGTAGCGTGATGCCCCACTCAGCAGCCAGTTCTCGAACCAGTTTACCGACGAACTGCGTGCCGTTGTCCGTAATCAACACATCCGGAGCTCCATGTCGAAGTAGGATAGCCTTCAGCTTTGTCACCACATTCTTTGCGGTTGCAGACGCAATGGAGGCGAGTTCCGTCCATTTGCTGAAGGTATCCTGCACCACGAGCAGAAATCGCTGACCCCGTTGTGATCTAGGCAATGGGCCTACCAGGTCAGCAGACACTGCGTACCACGGTCCTTGGGGTTGTCGGAAGTACATTTTTCCAGCTGGTTTCGTTTGGGGTACTTTATAGGCCTGGCATTGGGCGCAAGACCGTACATAGGCCTTCACCTCACGACGCCAGTTAGGCCAAAAGTACTCCCCACCAACTCGGGCTAACGTTTTCTTCACCCCAAGATGTCCTGCCGTAGCCGTGTCGTGGTTTTCGTGCAGCACCACGGATACTTGGTCGCTTGGCACACACACCCTCCATGTCGTAGGTCGATCCTTCCTCGAGACTGCACGGTACAGCTTACCGTCGCGAAGCTGGTATCTCGAGTATCGCCCAGGGTGTTTGCTGACCAGATTGCAAAGGCGGTCGTACCAAGCACTGTGGCTGCCCGGCGGGTTACCATCGTTGTCCACGTCGGATGATGGGTCGTCAGTCTCCTGCTGTGTAGGACCAGGAGCTTCGTCGTCGATAACGTCACCCGCCGGATCATCACCGAGTGAAGGTTCGTCACCTTCAACATCGGTTAGGCGTCGTAACCGCAACTGTTCCCTTGCAGCGCGTCTGGTTAAAACTCCGACCTCAAACGTAGGTTGACCAGGTTCACCAGACGGGATGGGCACTTCAGGGACCGGCTGACGAGACAGGGCGTCCGCCACTCTGTTCGATGTCCCCTTGCGGTACCTTATCTCGAAGTCGAATTGCTGTAACTCCATTACCCACCGAGCCAGGCGCCCACTAGGCTCACTGAGCTTAAGCAGCCATTTTAGGGCGACATGGTCGGTTATCGCAATGAAGTGGTAGCCTTCGAGATAAGCCTTGAATTTTCGAACAGCCCACACGAGAGCGAGACACTCCTTCTCGGTAGTTGTGTAGTTCTGTTCGGCCTCAGAGAGTAGCCTACTGGCATACGCAACGACCACTTCTCGGTCGTTTACACTCTGAGTTAACGCTGCTCCCAGGCCATAATTCGAGGCGTCGACCTGGAGCACGAAGGGTTGGCTGAAGTCGGGACAGGCGAGAATCGGGGCCGTCACCAAGGCGTGCTTCAGAGCTTCGAATGCCTTAGTTTGTTCGGGTCCCCAGAGCCACTTGGCGTTCTTCTTCAGCAAACCTCGAAGTGGTATGGTTACCGAAGCGAACTTCTCGACGAATCGCCGATACCACGACGCAAGGCCTAGGAAACTGCGAAGTCCCTTGACGTTCGTGGGTGCAGGGAAATCCTGAATGGCGCGGACCTTCTCAGGATCCGTGGCGATTCCATCTTGGCTCACGATGTGTCCCAGATACTTCAGCTCCCTACGGGCGAAGTGACACTTCTCGGGGTTTAAACGAAGGCCCGCCTCGCGTAGGCGGCGAAAAACAACCCCCAGAAGTTCTAGATGCTCCTCGAAAGACGTTGAAACTACCACAAGGTCATCAAGGTACGCAAAGACCTTCGGCTCCAGCTCAGGCCCGATGACTCTATCCAGAAGGCGCTGGAAGGTGGCACCGGCAGAGTGTAGGCCAAACGGCATGACCTTGAACTGAAAAAGGCCTAGGCCTGGCACAGTGAAGGCGGTCACGGGGCGACTGTCGACGGCCAATGGCACTTGCCAGTAGCCTTGCTTCAGGTCCAAGGTACTGATAAACTTAGCCTGCCTGAGCTTCTCAAGGATGGCGTTGATCCTAGGCAGAGGATAGGCGTCCTTGATCGAGGAGTCGTTCACCCTGCGCATGTCGATGCAAAAGCGGTATTTCCCAGTCGACTTCCGGATCAACACGATCGGAGAGCTCCATGGACTCTCGGATGGTTCGATTACATCATCCTTCAGCATGGCAGCTACTTCATCGTTGATGACCGCTTGCATTGCAGGGTTACGAGGGTAGTGGCGCTGTTTGATCGGGACTGCGTTTGGTTTGAGCCGAATGACATGCTCAGTCAACGCCGTAGGTCCCACAACAGCATCGAAGAGAGGAAGTTCTTTCTCGAGAAAATTCTTGAGATGTTG